CTGAACCGCATGCCTGATGAAACGGGAAAGCTTTCGTGATTTGCATCGCAAAGGAACAAATCCAAGGAGAGAGAAAAAAACCCGATGAATTCAGTCTAACCTTAGGGATGTCCTCTGTCCGATTTCCCCGAGGAAGGCCAAGCATTCTTCATCTACATTCAGTTCTTCAACTTGTGCGCGGATTGCTATAATCTGGCCACATGACCACAGATCCATTCATCAGAAAGTTTTTCAGAAATTCAAATCTAAAAGATGGAACATGACAAAGAACCTGTATCATTTCGGAGGGATTATAAATCTGAGTCCGGACAATGACCAGTCGGTCCAAAAGGTCGACGGGTACTCCGTGGGGACTGTTCATATCAGTCCCTCTACAAATATAAACATGGAGTCAGTAACGTCATCTATTACCTCAGCTCACATTATTTCCCAAAGATGAAACCGATAGCCAACAAAGAACCAAACCTTCCCCTCACCTTACGTTACATACGCCTCTATTTGTTGCAAATATTACTATCGGAGATAGCGAGCTCTCCAAAGCACGGTTCAAGTATGAAAAGCACTCCATATCAAGCATATGTACCTGAAATTTTTAATGTAAGGGAGTTAGTTTTAATAAAGCCAAAAGTTAAATAAAAAAAAAAGAACTACTCCTCAGGCAAATACCTCATCAATAAACAGAACTCCGGGAACAAGCTCCGAGACACCTTCATCTATATAACGGTTAACTACCTGCAAATAGCATACACTATATAAGATTGAAACCCTAATATACATCTGAAGTCTTCCATGTTACAATGAAGAACACCTTATTAATTTCTTGACGAAGCTTATCAGTGATCTCTGTCTTCCGAGGTTTCATCATTTGACCCATAAGAGAAAGAATATCCTGCCCACCTTGAGGTCTTGCATTTGCTGCATCCAGATCATGGAGGGTGACATCCTAGTCATAGTGAAGGAAGATCAGCACATGAATTTTCGGAAAGTTCTTTTTTTATCTTCTTCCAATTCAAGTATACATCCCGGCAGAATGTCAAGTCATCACAAAATCAAGAACAAAACAGATATGATTAGGCTAGAAGACGCTAACCTAGTAAATGTAAGGATCACGATTATTATAAAGAAAGGGAGATTCATTGATAAGCAAAGTTTGTAGAAGTAAACCTGCACTATCTCTTTCTTTTTGTGAACTTCTCCTTTAGGAAGCGGAACATACTCTTCAGCTTCTAGGTCAAATTCTGTGGCAAAAGCATCACTTCTACCGACCCGTTTGACAGCTCCACTATTGGCTTCAACATATATGACATCACCAACAGCTACCTGAAGTATAACAAGGAATCAGTAAATACCGACACTGGTCAACAAGTTTGATCTCTAAAACAGTCATCCGACCAGAAAAGAAAAGCAATTTGTACAATTATATAGCAAAGTAATTTAGTTCAACATCTGAAATAGAGTCAAGATAAGGAAATACTCAGAAGTACATTAGAAAAGAAGCTCACATCAGAAAAACAGCGCGGAAGTACCAAAAAGTCGAAGAACTTGCCTTTTCCTTGATCAAGGCATCATATATAGTGGGATCCAACTTCAGTTGTTTAGTTCCTTTCACTGTCTTGAGCCCAATTATAACATGACTGATGCTTTTACCGTAACCCCCAGTAGCACTTTCAGTTTCTTCTGGGGAGAGCTCGGTGACCTGGTACGAGAAAGGCCTAAATGCTAAACATCGAGTGGCAGAAACAACAGTAGGACAGAATATTGCATGAGAACACATCATATTGGAAGCCACAAATAGCAACACACCTCCCCTTCATAGACCTCTTTAGTTTCCTTGATGCGAAGGCCAATGGCACGTCTGAAATTCTCCATCAGAACCTCAGTTTTCTTAACCTCTGATGAGTAAACCTCAGATCCAACCATTGGACAAAAGGGAACCTGCAAACAAAGAGTAACACGTATGGAAAAGAATATCCATATTCCATCATTCGATACATTATATGAAAATTCATTATTAAGAAATCATAACAACATCTGGTGATGCAAATAGAAAATCCATTACTTTGCTTCCCAGCTCTTGGGATATTCCAAGAGCCAAAGCTGTTTTGCCGGTACCAGGAGGTCCAGCAAGCAAGAGAGCCTTGCCTGCCATTTTCTTCTGCTTTATCATATCCACAACAAGACCAGCTGCTTCTCTAGCCTCAAGCTGACCCACAAATCCAGCAGCCAAAGGTATGGGAATGCCAGTGGGCTAAACAAAGAGACAAAAGTTCAGCAAAGAACCAGACATTACAAGTTAGATAAAGAGATGGCACTGCATAAAACATCACCAACAAAAATCACTTGCTAATTTGTGTTGTAACCACATATATTTGGACTTTGGAGGCGTTAATCTCAGAGGTCCTGAAGATCTTGCTAAATAAAAAGAAAAGGATGGATCTTTTGGTCATATGCAACACTACATTTTGCATTTTTTCACCTAGCTTTTGTATTTATGTATGTTAATGCACAAGGGTATATAAAAATCCTCATCTACTGTGAAACACAAGCGACTACTAAACAACTATTTCATCGTAATCCAGAAACAAATTTCTGACCAATAGACGAACAACTAACGAACATCTCAACATGCAGAGCCCAATCGCACTATACCAGAATTGGCTCGGATGAGAAGCCATAGAAAAGAATGTGAGGAATCATAGAACAATGCTCATAGGCAGCACAAGGCTATCAGAAGCAAAACAAACTAAACTAAGCTTTTAGAACCTTCAACCAAATTTGCACGGTTAACAGAACAAATGCAGAGTAAGCATCAAGGCATGTCTTACGCGTTAAAAGTAAACAAAGCCGAAAACTTGGAAGATGAAAATTACGGCAGAGAACAGTGCAAAGAACAAAACCCAGAAAGAAAAAATGAAGCCAGCATGCAAAAAAGAGCAAACTTTCAAGTCGCCATAACCCTAAAGCCCACAGCTTAAACCCTAAACCCATACGAACTTGCAGAAAGAAAAAAAACACAAGCGATTCGCAAAAACCACTTCAGCCACACGGATACCGACAAAGAAGGAGGAAGAGAAAGAGAACCTCGAGACCGAGGCCTTTGATATGGGTGTGAGTGGCGATTCTCTGCTTCTTCGCAGTGGACTGAATCTCTTCGATCTTCACTTTATCCATCTTCGCAACCCTTGTTCGTCTCTGTAACTCTCACGGCGACGGTTTCTAACGCCTTCCCCGACGAGCTCTTACAGGTTTTCCGGCGGCGGAAGGATTCTGCTCCCTCTCTTATTGCGATGTCCCGTTATAGTGGTTTGTCTTAGTGGAGGGCTAGTGTATATATATTTTTAATTTTGGGGCAATTCTGGAAATATGGGATATTTATGGGGTCCTTTTTGAACTATTTTCGGTCTCGTCTTGTCATCCTATCTGCCAATTGGGCTCGGATAACACTCTTATTAGTTACCACTCGCCATCGGCAATGGAGACTGCCTCGATCTCCGCCGCCGTATTTTTCTCCGGCGCCGCCGTTACTCCGCCGTTTCGGAGAATCTCTCTGTCTCGGAGACCGGTTCACCGGAATTTTCGACCTTTGTCTGCTTTCAACACCACCGCTCGCGCGGGTTACACAATCTCTCTCTCTCTCTCTCTGCGTTGTTTTCGTGAAAGTTTTCCTTTTTTTTCAATCTTTCTAAGTAATTTCGGCTTTTCATCCTCTGGCGCGTCTTGTTCACTGTTGAATTGATTAATGGATCTTTGTGTTACTCTCTTTTAATTTTCCTCGATTTTCGTGTCCAAATCTTGGACTCGTGATTCCTGGGGGGTTTTAACCCTATAACCCACTTGGGTCGCAGCAATTTCAGGGTACACCACCGAAAAAAAAAAAAAATTTGCGACCTTATTACGACTAATATATAACTAATATACAACTAAAATAAGAGTAGTTTATTAGTCGTAATAAGTTGTATATTAGTTATATATTAGTCGTAATAAGGTCGCAAATTTTTTTTTTTTTTTCGGTGGTGTACACTGAAATTGCTGCGACCCAAGTGGGTTATTTGAGTAATATTCCCGATTCCTGGTTCTGTGCCCTTTCCGGTCCTGTTCATGTTCCAGGAAATCTGAAGTTACCTATCGTTTGATTTCTGGATTTTCTAACTCCGTTAACTAAATTTTGAGTTTTGTTTTTTGTTTTTGTTTTTCAGGGAGTGAGATTGTTGAGGAAGACGTCCTGCAAATGTTCTTGAAGGACAGAGAAGCAAATGGGGATTTTATTTCCAGAGTTTCTGATAAGCTCTGGCTAAAGGAATTTCTCAAATATGTTGATGATGATTCCAGTGGAGCCTCTGCAACTGCTGAACTTGACGAGCAGGTAAATATGTGATGCTGATGACTCGGTAATATCCACCATTTCCAAACCACACATCCTGTCATGACGATCCATCATGATCTTTGAACAGTAACCTTACTAAATTTTCCCAATTTGGTACTTGTTTTTACTTGATTCTATCTAGACTGTTTGCCCATCACTTTGATAGCAATATTGAGTCTTTACTGGAACTGTTACTTTGGTCTGTATAAGCCGCTACCTTTATGCAGGAAACAACGATTTCGAGTGCAGATGATGGTGATGGAGGGTTCCTGAAGCTTAAACAAACTCAGGAATGGATTATAGGGGAAAAAATCTCTGCCCCGATCAATAAGAAAGCAATGGCCAAGGTGTGTAATGTCTTCTAAAATGTTCATTATTGTTTACTCATACTTGTTGTTTCATATCGAACACCTTCTTCTCTCTCTAACTGTCTGGGTTTGATGCCAGGCATTGAGGGACGACAGTGAGAGAAGGAAGAAACTGAACATTCTTCAATACGAAGCTGTATGATTCTCTTCAGTATCTTTCTTGATTAGTCTGCTGGTCAAATCTTTGTGATCTAACCGATGTTTCTTTCTCAAAGATGTGTTGTTCAATATGTGATATGATGTGAATCATTATGTGGTTGCCTAACCGTAAAACTTGCTTCTGAATACTGATCTGTTCTCCTTTCTTCTTGCAGCTGAAACGTGAATTGACTCTTCTGTCTATCGGAATCGGAATTGGATGTAGCGGGTATTGCTTACTAGCTTTGTCAATCCAGGTTAGCTCTCTCTTGGCCAATATTTTTTCTTGTAAGTTCAACGATAGAAGCAATCATTCATGGAAACTTTCATTCAGAAGTGCTCAAGAGGGTCATTTAACCTTGTGCTAGAGAATAAGCTCTTGTTGACAAAAACTTGGTCATTTTCCTTTACATTCTTGCACTACAAACACAGTTTCTTCTTGATTTTGATTTTCCTTTAACAGACGAAAATAGAACTATTCACATCACAAGAACTGAGAATTGTGTTATATTATTCTTCATATTGTTAAGAGTGTCCTGCCCGTGTACTCAAAAGTCGAATCGTACAGCAACCAAGTTGATAATGTCTATTACGATGTCTTCGGTCACAAAAGAAAATGTTTCCAATCTCCGTCATCAAGGTAGGTATTGAACAAATTTGCTTAAGTGACATTCTATCTCATCTGGCAGGCTGCTATTAGTTATGCTGTTGGAGTTCTTTTCAGGTTAGTTGTATTCATTCAGTATTAAAATCATTTAATGGTTTCAAAGCTTGAGATTATAATTTCTGAGTGGAAGTTTCTGTATCGTTCTTATTGATTCCCTGGTTGTATATTCCTAACCGACTCTGGTTTCAGTGCAGTTGCTTGTACCTTCAGCTTCTGTACCGATACACCGATGTTGTGTCTCGGGAAATGGTTCCTGACATTTTCCTGAAAAAGAAGTCTAAGAAGTAACACTGCCACTCATAGTTACTATCTGAAAGTTGTCATCTTTGCCGTGAAATAGCGTAATTATTGTTCTTCTGCACTAATCAATTTTTCTTTTTTTTTCGTGAACTTAGAATCGGGATTAGAAGTGAAGACCTTCAGAACTTCATAGAGAGGACAATCAAGGGCAGTGGTCTTGCTCTCTCATCCCCTCGGCTCGTGTTACCGGCTGCAATCTATGCTCTCTGGGCTCTCTCTCACAAGTATTACCAAAATGACTTCCTTGATTTCCAGGTAGAGCTACCTTTTTCTTGCTCTGAATCTTTTGTCCGTTCTTGGCAAGTATCATCTTCATTGGCATTTACTACAACGAAAGTAAAAACCCTTCACTTGTTCTGGTAAAAATTCACATTCTTTTAGTGTATGATATAAAAAAAGTCGGTAGCTTTCGTCCTAAAAAATGGGATATGATCAGTATGCGCTGGAAAAAAAAATGGTTCCTTGAATGCAGTTTTTCGATCTGCCTGCCACGGATCTATATAATATATGATGATGATGACCATAGCATAGCCTTCCCTTTTCACGTTTAAACCTTTCTTTCAATGTTTCACCACAAAAAGCCGGATTCTTTCACGAGTTCTCGGCAAGCCTAACCTTTCCCGGCACGTCTTTTTTGCCTCGCAGATAGTTCCTGCAATGTTGGGCATGTTTGTATATAAAGCCGCGGCTCTCGTTCAAGTGTACAGAGATAACCAAGATCTCCAGTTCGTCTTCCCTGAAAACGAAGAACCTCCAAGAAACTGATCTTCTGAAAATTCCCCCACGAAGTTAAACTTAAAAAAAAATCGCAAATCCGCGTCCTGAGAGCGTTGGATGAGTAAAATCCAGCTTCTTGTTGGGTTTTTTCGCATACTTACCGAAGACAAAAAAAAAAAAAAAAAAGAGGATCTGGAGACGCTTCTTGGACATAGCCTGGTATATACTTACAGTTTATGTAGGGGTGGCTTATTCCGGTTAAATTCGGTTGTTTTCGGGTTTAGTTATTTCGGTTTATAACCGTTTAATCTTTATATTAAATTAGTTTGGTTCGACCGGATTGATGAAAATATTCATTTTCTTGAATAAATAGTAGGGTTTTTTTTTTTCTTCCAATGTGCTTTATATAGATAATGTGGAATAATTGTAATCCAAAATCAACAAGGACTATTGCGTTTAGGTAATAATACATGAAGGAATTCGGAACCATCGGGCTTAACCCGAGTCACTCTCCGTGAACAATGTTGATTTACACAAACAAATCTCGAATGATTCTGGCATGGTGAAGAACAAAAATTACCACAAAAACCCCTCTTCACATTTCATACAAGCCGCTCGAATACAGCCAAAGATTTTTATTTTTATTTCTCCTATTTGGTAAAATAAAATCATCAAAACTAAAAGAACAAAATAAAACTGCCAAGAGAATAGAGAGAGAGAGAGAGACTTGGCGGTTTTCTTCACCTATGCGCATGCATATGCAAATTTCCCTTTTTCCCCTCAAAGGCTTATGCTTTCCCTCGGGCCAAAAGATTTGATTCTGCAAATAAAAACTTACAACATGAGAGAAATAGGCCATAAGACAAATTTCAAGGCCGTACACTCCACCCTCTCGCCGCCAACGCTTGCCTCACTCTGTTTGCTGCCTCAGCGGTATCATTCAGTGGAGGATAACTCCAACTTTCAGCCATCTGAAAACAGATGACCCGACACCGAAAACAAATGTTTAAGATCGATAATATAATCGACGTCAAAGAATATTACATTCGGGACTGATACTATATAACAGGGGTTCCAAAGGACATTTAAAGTTATAATTTTGGGTGATGCTTAGTACTTACATCTTCAGAGCCTGTCAAAGGGCGGACCATTCCTCGCTCCCTCAAAGATTTGTGGAAATCTGCTATCCTCCATTTACAGTGATTAGCACCAATTACATACACTGGTTTACTGCAGAGGAAAATAAAATTTCAGTTTATAGATATAGCAGGTGAAAGATAATAAGAATGGAGAGGATATGAGGGTCAATTCATGCATACCCTGTGCTGCAGGCCTCGCTTATCAAACTGACAGAGTCTGCTGTCACGACAAAGGCATCACCCCAAGCTAAATGTCCCATGTATGGATTTGGTTCTGAAATTTTTTTCGGAACAAGTATTAGAATTTTTCCTGACCACGTCGTATTCATGTATAGAAGCTACAGCAAATTTTGCAGTAGGGTACCTTGGCCATTCCCAATGTAAACTTTTGGATTGTCTCCAAGTTCTTTGACAATGATTTTAGAGACCTATTTGCATAGCAAGTACTAGGTCAAGTTCAAGAAGAATCAATCATAAAATCACACTCAAGGATCAAATAAGGATGCTAAAGACCTTTCCGGGGGTCCTGTGGGAGAAAGATATTCTGACGCTCCCACATGAAGCAATGACGCTAAGAAGGGAGGCTGTTAGCTGCTTCGCAAGATCTGCTCCATACCTGCAATTACCTGTTGAGGAAGACAAAAGGATGGAATATAAGGATAAAAATTTTAAGAATCCGGAGAAATTAAGAACACCATCGAGCAAAATAGATGAGCGACAGAACATACGTGTAGGCCAGCCAATGTTAACAATGAGTAAGGGCTTTGGAAGGGCAGCAAATTCATCATGCCAGGTGCTAGCTGCATTACGGAGTGCAGCGTAATCAATCTGATGTAAAGATCCTGTAGTAAGTACCTGAAAAAAGACGTTCAATCGTGGCAAAAATAAACTAAGTCTGCACTATTGAGGTTAATTCTGAAGTGGTTTGGCATAGAAGAGGGCATGCAGTGAATATAACAGTTAGTGCTTACCACATGATCATCAGGAGGTTCACGAGGAGTTATCCACCTATGCAGAAACCGAGGAACCTGCTCTTGTGCTTCAGGGGTCAGTGGATAATAGTCGTGACGTGGTGTGATAACCATATCAAATCTATTTAACCGTGATCTAGGATGTTTTATCTGCAAATATTGAAAACCAAGGAGCAAAATTTAGACATCACAGGAATGAGGAATCAGTTTCCGTTTTTTGCTACTGGTCTGGACGTTGCAAATTTAATACAAGACTCTAAACTAGATTAATGATAAATAATATTTCGCAGCTTAGTACACGGTGTCTAAGTAACATAACGATCAGGTTAAGTCTAATGATCAAACCTGCACAACAAAGACGTTTTCAGATGCCAAATGCCGTATCGAGCTAGCAATAGAAATTGTATCTCTCCCACATGCAACCACCAGCAAGGGTCCATCCCTGGAAAAGGGGAACACAATCATTTTATTACACTTCCAACAAAATAACAGGGCATGGCTAAACAGACTCTTGAACCATGAAACAAAATAAAAACATTCTTTTCAGGCTTAACTTGCACAAAAGCAGGATAATAATTTGTAAAGATGGAGAATCTAAAGAGAGACACCCAATGAATCCAAAGGTAACAAGGGCTGCCAGAAAAGTTAACATACTTTTCAAAGGTTTCTCTGGCCATGCTTACAATCTTCTTCACATCAGCCTCCAAAATAGATGATAAGCCTACACCGCCACCATTTTCTGATGGTACAGGTGCAATATATTTACTGTTTTGTGTTTTTAACAACAATCTGGAGTAGAGGTAAATATGCCTGAGGATATAATCCAACTTTTTGTGAAGACTAACTGGAAGCCAGTGGAGCCACTCATTAATCCCCCCTTTCGGCCTCGTAACTCGCTTGCATAATCAAGACATAACAAAGTAAGCCATGCATATACATGCAATGGAAAAAAATAATGGTGAAAATTATTGATAATCTGATAATGCAGAAACCACAGGAGCAAAACAATGTTAACATACATACAACCGATAAAAATGAATCTGACCCAGGTTTCCTCTCTTTACACAAGACCTAGCACATATAATGTTCATCACCATATCATGCCCCACCTGGGACTATTCTCACAATTGACACCCACGGAACTATATCAATCCAGGAAATCCCAGTAACAAAGTCTTGATATTGAGGTATTGCTAAAGCCCAATATTTGAGATTCCATTCTCGGACAGCTTCTGTTTAAACCTCTGTCTAACAAAAGTGCTTCTTCAAATTTTCAGCCCATTCATGGTTTACCCTAAATTCGCAAAACTATAAGTATAATGAAACCTACATAACTATCGGTCCTTGCTTCTCTCTGCAAAATCTACGAATTCATTCAGTTCTTCCTACTCCGCACATTCAGACTAGCAGCCACAGTTTCCTATTTATATGGAAGAGCATCAGATTTACCCTCAACACTTACCTTGGCTGAACAAGTGCAAACTAAAAGGGTGCTTAAATTCGACATCTTTCATACAAACAAATCCAAAATTCAACATAAACCCAGACTCCGAATAGCCAAAATTCACGAAGACATGAAAAAAAGAGAGAGAGAAACCGATTCTGCATACATGAAATATCAATCCTAAACCAATCAGATATCCAGCTGCAAATTCCGGTGAAACACTACGTTACGCAAATCGATTCTCAATATAACCAACCAGATTGATTCCGCATATTACACAAAAGGTCATCCAAATCAACAAGAGGAAGAACAGGGTTCCAAGAGTGGATCGAACTCACATAGAGGATATGCTTCTCCGCCAAGCCGAGCGCGCGAACGAGACCGATGCTCTGATTCTCAGAGCCAGGGAATCCATTGCCGATGACGACGGCGCGTCTGACAACGGTGTAAGCTCCGCCTTCGAAAATCTCCGGTACGCCGGTGGGTGTAGTCGGTGGCTCCGGTAAGAGGATTGGTCTCATGCCGTCGTAAGATTTCGCAGGATTTCAGATCAAACCCTAGACGACGATGGTTGTCTTCGCCTTGTGATTTTTCGTTGGAAGACACGTTTTGAGGAAAAGGTCGTCGTGCTTTGCTTGACAATTGCAAATTATTCAGAACGAAAAATTGCGATGTTTTGATATGAAAACTGGTCAGGAAAAAAAATGGAAACTGTCAAGGGGTAAATATTTATTTTAGTTTCTTAATTATTTTTTTATCATTAATATACTTCAGATAATTAAATATAAAAATATTATCTAAATTTAACACAAAATCGTAGATTATTATTTAGGTCGCCATGTTCAGCGTTTCGTTTTTTTTGTCATTAGAAGCACTGTTTTAATTTCCATTGTTGCACAAATAGAGGGATAGCATTAAAACTAATTATGGAAAAATTATTTAATAACTAAATAACTCAATCAATAATATCATACAACTATAGTCAAACTGACATAAAAACCAAATGGATATGATATTTCTAAAAAACCAAACTCGAAACCTAATCAAAAACGAAAATTTCTTTAAAATTGAATATTTTTATTTTTAAAAAAAAGAATCTGACCAAAATAAAATAAAATTGAACCGAATTTAATCTAAAAACCGAACGGTTATAGTTTTTCTAAAATAATAATAACCAAATCCGAATATAACCAAAACCGAAACGTCCACCGCTTGACCAAAACACATTATGTCAAACAAGATATCCATTGCTTTGTTACAGAGGCAACGAAAACGCAAAGCCAAGCATGAAGACAAGGCTTCTTCTTTGGACAAATCATCATCACAAACTCAGGGTTGAAACAGGAAGACTTTTTGTCTGTTAAGACAGACAAAGCTGATGAATGCTATGACATTATACATTCGAAACATTCAACAACGCAGAGCATTTACAAAGAGATTATACATATACAAAGGCAAGGCTTCCGGAAAGAACCATTAAGTCCGATACCTTAAAAAGGGAAGACGCGTCAATGGAGCTTAAAGGCTAGAACAGGGGCCATCGTCAAGATTCAAGATCTGCATGATGGTAAAGAGATGCCTCCACAGAAAGCAGCAATTAACAAGTAAAGCAATAGAACGATCAACCCCGTCAACAACGCCCTGTCATATACATCCAGAAAAAAGCTCCGTGAATTAATATCCGAAAAGGTCAACATGGGTCAAACCTACCGAGTTTATACAGAAAATAGGTTCTACTACGATCAAAATATACCCGCTTAATACCCAGAAGAGAAAACCTATTTGCTCAGAGAAAGGAGAACCCAGCCCAGTTTTGGTGATGGTTCTTGACCATGATGACATCCCACTATTCATGCAAGTCATCAAGTCACCAAATCTGAAATCTCATCTATTTCAGCCAATGTATTATGCTAGAAATCGTTTTATAGTTTCCTAACCAATTTTTCTTTTCAAGATTCGTCATTTTGAGGGGAGACCTAAACAGAAAAGACTTAAATCAGTCGATATGCTACCACGTTGAGCCAGAAACTATCAGAATCTCGGTACTCTCAGAATCGTCATAAAACAGCTAATCTCAGGACTATGTAAGAAGTCATAGTTCCTTACAGGAGCTTAGCATTTTTCATCCAGAGAGCTCGACGGAGGCGCTTTGATTGTTTCCTGAAGTGAAACGCACTATCTTGCATAGTTGCAGTCCGATCAACAAGAAGCTCGATCCTATCACCCCTCTCCAGTATTTTCTCGATGTTATCCACCATGACTGCGCGAATCTGTATACACACCAAGAAAACAATGAGAGAATATTTATTTCCTTGGGAGAAATCAAATTTAGCAGGACACCACACTAGCAGAGGTATGTAAACTACAGTAAAAATATACAACGAGCAGAAGAGCAAGGGTGCCATCTTTGATTTCACACGCTTTATGATGATAACCAATAAACCAGATAACCACGAAGATTATATGATTTCATTATTCCTAAGTGAATGCATGCACAAGTTATACCTTTTCAATTACAGTAGATAGGCAACGAAACGTCTAAAGCTGGTAAAAGGAAAAATCTTTACCTCGCTGACTTCTCCTCTAACACGACTGAGAGTATCTACACTAGGATTACTGGAGAAGAACTCCATCTGCTGATGCAAAACCCTCGAAAATTCATCATTCATTGCGTAAGCAGGTGTGTAAAGGGCCACTTTGCCATAGTTTTTCATGAACCTCATATGAATATCCTCCAAGTACGAAAATGGAATCCTCCCTACAATTCAATCAACAACTGCTAACTTCAGAATCAAGCCGTCTCAAAGGCACAATGAAACCCAACTTAAATGATATTAGATAGAGAATTCAAAGAATTTTCATCTGTGACACGGTTTATGAGCCAAGATTACAAAACAAAAAATTCAATTCAGGCCCTAAAACGCTCATTTTTAAATGCATATATGCAAACGGACATTCAGAAATCCCCAAAAAACCCAAAATATTCAGACGAAATTCATCCACACCGTTCATCACTGAACAGTAAAATTAGGTTTTTTTTCTGGAAAATTACGATTCACCGACGAGAGAGAGAGAGCGCTTACTTCCAAAGGTGTCGTTGGCCATACAGAGGAAAATGAGGCCATCGGATCTGAGAATATGGAAGATGTAATGATCCTGAGAGAAGCAAAGCCTGGAGTCGTCGGTTTCCGGTGTAAGCTTCTCGAAGATCCGCCGGACGACGGCGCCGATGTTCCCCGTGACAGCAGAGAACTCCGCCAGAACCACCGTGCCCCTCGCCACAACGGCGTAGAGGATCGCCATGGAAGAATGTCTTCCTCCGCCGTCTCGAGCTCGCAGATTCGAGGTAAATGGTGAGGATCACCAGAGCTCCGACGAAAAGTTCAAATTAGAATTCGCTGCGTTTGGGTCAGAGTATGCACACACACGGACAAAGTTATGTCGCATCAAACTCTGGAACTGGCCCTGGTACTTTAATGATATTTACCAATGGTTCCCATACTATTTTTAAGATCAGTTTTAACCTTATATTTAATTACTTTCTCTTAAGGAATGTGAATGTATACATAAATAAAAAGAAATTTTAGATAAATTAGGGCCATAAAGAAAGATTAGATAAAAATTTTAAAAATTTAATGAGTTTATAAGAGAATTATTGTACTTGTGATCATTATTCATACACTATTCTTATGTGTATGTCCAAAATTTTGTTGTGTGAAGCTAGGATTACAAAATTTTAAATGATCGGTATCTATTTTGTTTGTAAGTTTTTTGGACTATATATATTGGGGTCTTAACTGTATTTCTAATTGTTAACGGTTATTTTTATTGAACATTTAAAATGAATTTGATATGGGAATGGAAATTCAAATTCGAAATTATAGACCGCTGACACAGGGGATAGAAAATGAGAATTTTATGTAACGGTCATAATAAATACCTTCGGCCCATCGATCATTTGCTTATTTATTTAACAATTTATAATGGATTTATATGGTGTGTAATAATATTATGAATATTTTTTGTTTCAAGAATGCATCGTCGATAACGCACAGGAATGTTTATAGTAAATTCGTTCCAAAAATGTGAAAGAAAAAACTAAAATAAAAAAAGAATAAAAACCCCATTTAAATATAGTAGAATTTAATTTCGTGGCATGCTTGAACCTATTTCCTTCGACATGTTTTTATATATTATAACGAATAGACAATTGAAATATTATGTTATCGTATAATTAAAATAACATCGAAACCTAATCCATAAAAGAGCCAACCCGACCACTATGACCACAACCTTAAAATCTTAGAAGATACTATAAACAATCATTAATTACATGTCCTCACGTTTTAGTACTAATCGTGCCAGCCACATGTTTTCATGCTATAAAATTTGCAACATTCCGTACATATATTTGCTCGTCGAACGCATTAGGGTTTAGTTTCCTTCTGAAACCTAAACCTAAAATTAATAATGGCCGCGAACTTCCCGGCCGTTTCGGTTTTGATCTTCTGTCTCGCCTTTGTTAGCGTCGAACGTCGTTATTGTTTCGGTCAGTTGCTGCCGAAATTCTACAACGTAACATGTCCGAGTGTCGAGAATGTCGTTTTCAGAGTCGTCAATGATACGTTCCATAAGAATGCTACGGTTGCGCCGGCTTTGATCCGACTGTATTTTCACGACTGCTTTAGCGGTGTAAGTCCTCGATACCTTCTTCTTCTTCTTCTTTTTCCTCGGATTCGATACGTGCATAATCCTTCAGATACTCAAGAATATTAGGGTTCCCGATCCATTATATACCCAAAAGATTTCAGATGTCACAATTTGATACTTGTATTTCGATATCCGGATTATGAGTACCCGATAAAATGTGGTATGCAAAACCCAAAATTAATATTTTTTAAATATAGATATATAACACAGAATGTGTAATATTATATATCCTAAGGTCAAATGTAAATAATAAAAATTAACAAGGGTTCTTTACAAATATATATGGATACCCGTCCCTGGTTTTTAACCGTATTCCCATACCCATGAAAAATCGGGTATCCCCGGTCGGATAAGTTCTCCTAGAGTTGTTTGTAATGTTCTTGATCCAATTATATACGAATATATATATATATATATATATATATATATATATACTACCTTTATTCCTAGAGTTGTTTGTAATGTTCTTGATCCAATTATATACGAATATATATATATATATATATATATATATATATATATTGTATATTATCGTATCATTCTTTTTCTAGTAATACATATGTAGATATTAAGAATTCGAGTTTCGTATGTTGATTTTATTTAAATCGTATCCAATGGTGCGATTAGGGATGCGACGCTTCGCTTCTACTGGACGGTCCGAACAGCGAGAAAAAGGCGTCACCGAACCTAAGCGTACGAGGTTACGATCTGATCGACGCTATCAAAACCGAACTCGAAAAGGTATGCAGGGGAATCGTTTCTTGCGCAGACGTCATAGCTCTCGCTACAAGAGATTTAGTCACATTGGTAAATCTCTTCACTTATCCCCAATCATATATACACACATATATACGTGTATATATTGAAATGAGAACGATATATATACATATATTATCGAATAATTTTTTATATAGGCAAGCGGAGGAAGAACAAGGTACGAGATTCCGACGGGGAGATTCGACAGCAGAGACCCTTCGGCGGTGGATTTGCCGTCTCCTGCTATGTCAGTTTCCGACACCGTCGCCAAATTCGCGACCAGAGGGCTTAACCTTACCGATATGGTGTTGCTTCTTGGTAATGCTTTGAGCCATTAGCAAGCAATAACACACTTTTTTTTTCTAACATAGTTACCATCTCATTTATTTTATTTTTGGGATTAGGTGAATTGTTTAACATCTACTCTACACAAAATTATAAAATTTTAGACTAAGTTTAAAATTTTGAAATATCTAAATACAATATTATAAAAATAATAATATAAAGAATTTATGTCCGTATAGGTTATCAACAATAAGAAAAAAAAAAGTAACAATTATCACATTGAAATACATATTTTTTAAATAAATAAATATAAAAATGTTTTCAAATATGAGTCTCCACTCTAACAAATTAAAAAAATACTTTTTTAAACGTTGAAATTAATAAAATGGTAATATTATTTTCAAAAAAATAAAATTAATTATGAAAATAGTATCGTAATTATTATATAAAAAATGTGAGATTATGAACCCTATACCACTTAAACGTGCTATTATTAGACGGTCGTAAATCTTAATAGTTGACTAACGTCACGTGTTTTATATCCGTTTCGGATTTTATTCAGGTGGCCATACCATTGGAGTGACGCATTGTTCGTTCGTTCTTGATCGGATATACAACTTCCGAAACACGGGCCGACCCGATCCGCTCATGGACCCGCAGCTCGTAAAAGATTTGAAGCTCGTATGCCCTCCGAATTCGAAGATCGACAATGCCATAAACCTCGACCAGGATATTTCAAGTGCGAATATTTTCGACGTTTCTTTTTACAAACAGATAGATCTCCGTCGAGGAATCCTCGTGATCGACCAAGCCATCGCAGTGGACGGCCTTACGAATAAAACGGTGACGGAAATCGCAAACGGCAACGATTTCTTGCCGAGGTTTGGTGAGGCTATGGTGAAATTGGGATTCTTTGGAGTTAAAGGCAGACTCGACGGAGAGATTAGGAAATCGTGCAGTTCTCGCAACAAGCCGTCGCTCCGATTCCCTTCGGTTCCGTAGAGAAATGCGTGCCGTTTTTTTAATCATCGTATATTGATTTCGTATTTGGTCGTCGATTTGTCTTGGCCTCTTGGGAATTAAAAGTGTGATTTTTTTTCATTTTTCATTATTTGTTTTTGGCATATGAGTTTATATATATGTAAGTGCATATATATATATATATATATATATATATATATATATAAGTGCTTATACATATATGAACACATAACAAACAAATATATGCATGCTTATTATACACACACACACATACACATATACATGCACTTACACAAAATATTCATATATACACACATTTATATATGTAAATTGACATATATACGTGCTTATACAGTTATACATGTGTTTGTATATAAATATAAGCCAATATATTTTTTGTGTATATATATGTGCATGTATATATATATATATATATATATATATATATATATATAGCAAAAGAGAGAAAATGGAGAGAGATGGAGATAATTTTGTGGATATTTTAATGTATTATTTATTCTCTCAGATCCAAATAAAGTTGACATGTATTTATATAGCCACGCAATTAACTCTCTAGCTACTACTAAACTCTTCCAATATACTCTAATAATACATGTTTTTATGTATATATATATATATATATGTGTGTGTGTGTGTTTATAAACCCATGTATAAATTTTAGCCCAAAAAAAACACATGTATATAATTGATTTCGATTTTCCGACCAACTACACATCATCTTCCGGCGTCAATTTAATCTCCTGAATAATGCCGTTAAGAGTCATGTGAAGAATGACAGATTTTAGATAAATAGACAATTTTATCAAATTTTTTTTTAATTTATATATTTCTTGATCCGGTGCTATCAAATTAGTGTATTTATAGAGATATATAAGATTTCCCCCTATTTTTTCCCATTTATTTATAAGTCTCATTTCTATCTTTTCTCAAATTTAAAAAGGTATAAAACTATTTGTTCTCTAATTTATTACACTAAATTTAGAGATTTGTTTTTTCTCCCTTCCTCGAACCAATTGGCATTTTTAAGCGAAAGGAAACCTAATTTTTGCCCTAAAATCGGACAAAAGAGCTTCACGAAGCCGAAATCGAATTCGACCCGAATCTCCAAATCGGAGCCTCGGTAATGGATCCGAATGGCCGTCTTCCTTCCAGATTCAACCGCCTCCGTGAATCCTCCGCCGTCTCCGATCGCCTCCTCGGCACTTTCACCGCCCAAGGACCTCGCATCGACATCCCCTCCTCCTCCGCCGTCGTCGCCGACGGCGATCTCAACGAGGACGATATCTTCGCCACAGACCTCTCCCACACGCCTCGCTCATCTTCTTCATCCTCAGCTTTCCTGGCTGTTCCGCCGGCGTCGGCCCGGCCTATCCAAAGGACCAGAAGCGGTTTGAAGACCGTCGAGGCTTCTGGAATCCTCGCCGCGCTTCCAGAGCCTTCCGGAAGCAATCACCTCGGCCATGTTTTTCACCACAAATCGGCGGCGGCTCTCTCCACCTCCGTCTCCTCCACCGCTTCTTCGCCGTCTTCTTCCGGCGGCGCATCAGCGGTTTCGTTGTCATCGGCTCCCCCGCGCCCAACCGCTCCGAAACCGCCGCAGGAGAGGATCCCTTTCCAGTCGTCGTCGATCGGTGGCGGGAAGTATCCCCAATCGGCCCCGGTGCAGGTTCCGGTGATGTCTCTGTCGATGATGAATCGACGACGGAAGGAGTTTGACCTGGCGGACGTGGTGGACGACGAGGAAGAGGAGGAAGGCGAGATGCTTCCTCCGCACGAGATCGTAGCTCGGTCGCTGGCTCAATCATCACTGCTGTCATGCTCGGTGTTGGAAGGAGCAGGAAGGACGCTCAAAGGAAGAGATCTCCGGCAGGTAAGGAACGCTGTTTTCAGAAGAACAGGTTTCATAGATTGATTGAATTCTCGGAGGCATTCTTTAATTTATTATCGGATTGGCTAGAAACTTCCGTGAATGTCATGTATTTCCCTACCTTGACTGCTGTTGCTTCAGAGCAAAGAGAACCCTATTCTTGTCAATATATTGTTTCTAAGGATTGGATGTTAGATTTGGCCTTTATTCTGGTTTCTTGTTCTTGAGAACAAACAAATCATCAGAGATTGAAACGACTTGGCTTGTATTGATAAGGAATCAAAAGCATAGGAACTGAAATGATGAATTTGGAAAGGGGTTGAATTGATTGCAGTATCTGGATACGAAATGATTCGGGCATTTTCTGGAGAGGTATAGAATTATGGGATTAAGTTAGAATTATGGGATTAAGTTTGAGATGGGATTAAGTTCGTGAAGCTTCTAATTGAGATTCCTGCTCTGGTGGGTTTGAAGTTTTAACATTTTAGGATACTGGAAAAGGCCGAATCTTAGAACTGCGAATCATAGATGCGGTTTCACGTGTTATTGACTGGAGGTGTTTGTTTTTTGCCATTGCCTATTTGATTTGATGCTATGAATGGCAAGTTGAAGACTTTGAAAATGTAGCCTAGTCGTTTAAGGAATGCACAGTTTATATCTGAAATGAGATGATGGAGTTTTTGATATGCGGTTCCCAGTCAGTTAATCGAGAATGAGATCTGGGTTGAGCATAGTTGAAGAAATTCATAAGGGGTTGTATAGTCCCTCTGCTTTCAGAAGAAATGTGTCTTTTGTGTCTTTTTTTCTCAAGGCTAGGGTCTTTTAAAACTTGAGCATTAGGCCAAGTTTGATGTTATTGCTCTTTCCTTTCCACCTGTGTAGTTCTATACATATGCTTGAATTCTTGTCTGGCATTTGTTACGATATGTGGCCGTATATATAGGTGCATGGTTAAATCCTGTTCGAGTATAATAAGCATCAGATCCAGAACATGAATCCCAGACACGTCGATTAGCTGAGAACCTCGGCCCGGACTTGGTCGGATTCATATTTGAATCTCGAGGTTATTGAAGATCCATCTCAATTTATCTGGGGATGTTAGGGGTGGGCGAGGGTCGGTTATTTGAGTTTTCCAGTATACCCGACCTCGACTTTGGCCCCTCGAACATGCTGGTCGAGTTACCCTGATCTCAGTCTCATGAAGTTGGGTATCCGAGTTTTGGATACCTGTAGGGGCCAACAAGGCGACAGCATGTTGCCTCCTCTTTCAGCTTCATCTTTGGATCTTCCCTCTCCCCTCTCTTCGCGGGTAACAACTAGACGAAACCCGAATTCAAACCAAAAGTCGGGATCCCGGGATACGTGGTTCGGGTTCGAATTCTCGGGTTTTGGATACCTACACTTAACCTTGGATAATTATTATTCTAATTCTAATTATTAATTTTTTTATTTTTGATCTAAAATTTCCTTTATATAGGATCCACATTCCAGTTTTTTAGAAATGAATTAAGCGAATTTAAATGATTGAAAAATGGAATAAAACAAAATTGTAACAGGATACAAAAAAAAAATGATATATATTTGGGAAGCTAAAATTGATTATATTAATGAGGCGTCAAGGTTTGCCCCAACGATACCAGTGGCGGCCTCATTGCTATCCTCTCTCTCGAGGTCCAGTATTATTATACTTCTCATTAGAAATCACGAGAATAATAATACATCGCTTATATCATGTGTCACGTTACATGTGATTACAGTTCCTGTTGAGACTTTTTGTTTTGCTTTTTGGTCGACCATATATTTCGAGCTTCTATATATGCATAATGTTACGTACGTGCCCGTGCTTTAAAAAATATATATACTGATTTAAAGGATTATATTAATGAGGATTTAGGGTTATTGAACATAAAAAAAAAAAAAAAGGAAATATAAGAATTTAGGGTTTGTAAGTGGAAGCATAACAAGACTCTTCATATCTATTTTCCATTTTCATATTACATATGGAAGGAAAAGAAACCCCCATAAATGTGAAGGGATTAAAGAGCTGTGATATGTAGGAGAATCAAACTGCGGCCTCCACCCAACAACTAATGCATGCAAGTTTTTGGGTCCCTTTGCATTTACTCTCTCTCTCTCTCTCTCTCTCTCTCTCTCTCTCTCTCTCTCTCTCTCTCTCTCCCATCCTATTTCTCATCGTATAAAGCTTCGATGCGTCACTCATGTTCTCTAAACGTATATGTTCTTCCCCTTCAGAAGCTTCAGTAATGGCGAACATTCGAGCAGTTTCTGCGACAATCTTCATCTTTGCTTTGGCTGTCGCCTCCCACTTGGAGACGTCGGAATGTTTTCTTGTCAAGAGCAGAGTCTCTTGCCTTGATTGTCCTCCCGATTTCGACTACTCAGGTTTTCTCACTGCGTTAAACCCTAATCTGTGATCTTCAACTCGATCGTCAAGAAACAACCTACACAAAAGAACTTTCGAGTGTATACATATATATACATGTATATCGATGATACAAATATGTATCGTGAATGGTTTAGAAACTTTATGAATGTTGCGATGGATTTCTATAACCATCTTTGTCCATCTGTTTAATCTTTTAAACCGTATCAGTACGTTTAATGTATATATATATATATATACATTGTATATAGAATCCAAATTTGTAACTATGAGATAAAAAAAAACAAAGATATATAGATATATGTACATTTCTTGATGTTTGGTTTTTTTAGGAATTAAAATTCTCCTAAAGTGCGACGGAGAGAAAAAGCCGGCGACCGCCACTGCCACGAAGGACGGCGGATTCCGGGCAGAGCTTCCCGCCACCGGCGTTAACTGTCTTGCAAAGATACAAGGAGGTCCTGACCAAATTTACGCTCGCAAACACAACATGGTCTCTCCGATAATTAAGTCTGAATTCGAACCGAACACTTACAAAACCTTAAACGCTCTATCTTTCTCTCTGTCTTGCCCTAAACCCACCGGAGATTTGGCCGGAGATATGAACGGATCTTCGAAGACAATCGATCTTTTCCCGGGGGCCGGAGGGTTTGGATTTCCACCCACCGGTTTAATGCTCCCGTTCTTGCCAATCATCGGCATTCTTTGTTAGTGATATTGATGGTGTTTTGATGACGTGAGTGCACTTCAAATGGATTTAAAGCTTGTTGTTTGGTTTGTTTGTTTGTTCCATAAATGTTGGAGGTTTGCGAGGGTAGATCCGGTATTCTATGTTGTTGTTGTAATAATAATGAAGAAAATGTTATTGTTAATGTTGTTTTAAGCCAAATATTCCCAACTTGATATATATACCAATCTTTTTTTACATATTAAATTGCAATTAAAAACAAAAAAAAAAAGCGTAATTTTTTTAAGAAATGAATATTTTATCATAACCGGACCGATCGAATTCAAACAAAAACTAAACGGTTATATTTTTTTAAAAAAAAAAACAAAATTATCGTATTTGAATATAGCCGAATTGATACTAAAATGGCTGTCCGAAAGCATAGTGACAGTGACCCCCGGAAGAAAGAGAAATAATATATAAAGGCTCAAAATGGAAGGAAAAAAAGGTCCAAATAACTCATTAGAAGGGCCCATTAACAACTGTAGGAGGCTCAATAAGAGACTTAAAAGCCCATTAAGGTCCATAAGAGCATCTTAAAAATGGGCATAGGCAGTGGCACTTCGGTACTATACTTTTGTTGTCATCTATCATTTGTTTCAAAATTCAAATGAATTTATAAAAAGAAAGAGAGAGAGACTTGAGGCCAAAACCGTTACAAACTTTTAACTTCATTAAAAAAAAAAGTAAAACCCTGCGTAAAAAAATATACAAATAAATCTTAGAACTCGTAAACCTGTCATTCAAACCCCACCAATATATAATTGAATAAAACCTCGAATTTACAAATTATTACTCTAATAACCCGTTGATTTATTTGACCACAATTTTAGATAATCAGAAATTCACATTGACCCAGAAAACTGATGTCAGCGTCTCTACGTGACCAATTTTAAATGAATTTTTGCCATATCAATATTTTGGGTCAAAATTTAATCCGATTTGAGAGTAAATAAAGTCGATTTTTCGGGTCAACATAACAGAAGATAATCAGATTGAAAGTTTATGCAATTAAAATTGGTTATATAGACACGTTAACATCAGCTTTTCGAGTCAAGTGGATTTTCGATCGCCTGAAATTGTGGTCAAACAAGTCAGCGGGTTATTAAAGTAACAATTTGTAAGTTTGAGGTTTTATTAAGTTACATGTTGCAAGTTTGGGATTGAATGACAAGTTTACAAGTTGAAAGTTTATTTGTATATTTTTTTATAAATTCGAGATTTTTTTGGGTTTTACCAAAAAAAAAAAAACTTTTCATTTGTTACCTTCATCTAAATTTTTATTGTTGTTCCAGACATATAATTTTGGTTCCCATAAATGTTATAAACGTGATTTCACTATCCGATTTTTAAATGGATCGAATTTTGTTCTTAATTTTGATATATTTAATCTTCAATTGCATACATAAATTTATTAAAAAAACGGATTAAAATAAAAATATTGTCTATGAAGCGCAAAATCTCAGAATCGCAGGATGTATATTAGATAAGCTAATATTTATGAAAGAGAAAAATACAGAATTAACAAGAACTCTCTATCCTTAAACGCTGTCGGGAAACCCCTCTTCCAGCGGCGCCGGCGGCGCCGGCGGCGGTAGAGTCCGCCATTAGAGAAGCTCGAGCCGAGAAAACCTGATTGGAAGTAAACGCGGAATCAAACACGGAGAAATCCATCCAATTCTTCAGCAACCCTTCTTTCCCCCATTTCTCCGGTATCGAAACTTTTCCGGCGATTTCTTCTCTGTGCCTCTTCAGCCTCTCTCGTCCCGACAAAGCCGTTTCCTGGTCCGATGATTCTTCCTTGTTTGGTTTCTCGGAAGATGCTGGATTTCTGCGGACGGTAGCATTCTCAGATTCTTCTGGGGAACAAGTCTTTGTGAACGTTGGCTTGGTGGGTCTGTTTGGCTGGCAGGAAAATTCAAGACTCCGGTGAGAAAATCCGGAAGCAGCGTTCTTGGATTCCTCCTGCAAATGGGTGTTCTTCATTTTCTTTGTACTTTCGATTTTCTCGGTTTCTGTATATATATATATATATATATAAGTACACAATTGCAGAGAGAGAGAGAGAGGGAGAGAGGTGGAAAAGAGAATATAAGGTTGAGAATTGAAAAGAACGTAGAGGAAGATGGGGGAATCTGTGGTTTGGTTTAGTGCGTTCGCTTGTTTTCTTATTTATTAAAGAAAGCAATGTATGGTGTTTGACGTTTCTACGTCTCAAGTTCTCTTTTTTTTTCAAATTAATTTTTTTTTTTCATGACGTCAAATGTTAATGAGTGGTTTTGCTTCCTCCTGGGGACACCCATTTTGAGATTTTTTTTTTTGTGGTTATTTTTGGCGTTCGGGGGAAGAAGTTTAAATGCGTATATGAAATTAGGGTTCATGAATGGTCAAAGTTGATGGTCGTGGGGATCTCTCACACAGTCCCATTTTGTGGAGGCTACAAAAGATGCGAATGTCTCTCTGCATAATATCAAAGATATTTTATGCATGTGGATACCATTGCGTTTTCTAGTTCACATACATACACATACACATACACATCTATATACATAACATACCATCATGAAAAATCATAGATATCTGCAAGGCAGACGTTTCATTGTTTACCTTCCACCAAAAATAAACAAATTATAAAAGATCTCATGAACAAAGTTGCATGCATGATACAAAAATGTCATTTGTGTATATATATATATATATATATAATATCATCTACTGAATGAAGGCATATGCACTGCAAAACCATTCTTGAATATGGTGGCGCGCACACACACACATATATACACAGTCAAGCCTCATTCCTCATTCACTGTTCAAAGCAAATAATCTCTAATAATTCGGGCTTATTTACAAATCCAAAACAAAAGGGCAACAATTTTGGGATGAGGATTTAGCAGAATGATACCATAATAAAAGGATTCTCAATGTTTGACAGTGAGTGGACCTAAAGAAGAAGCTTGACATCAGAGAGGTCATCCATGGGGATTTCAAGCCCCATAGTATCTATATCCTGCAAGCCATCGAACCAGTTACCAAGATCAGCTGGCTCTTCCATCGAATCCAGCTCGGGAAACGCCATGTTGTTGAAGTCGAGAGGCGCCTCCTCGTCTTCCACAGGCGGTTGATGGTGAGGGTTGGCTCGGCCCGATGGACCCGTCGGGTGAGTCGTCCTTGCAGATTGTTGGTTACTGTTCTTCTGATTCGGTTTGGTCTTGATTTTGTTCCCAGGACCGTCTTTTTTCCGTTCTACGTCCCTTTCGCTTCTCTTACTGCCGCTGTCTAGGCTCATTGTCGTGATCTTGGATGACGCAGAGCCAACGACATCATCGATTAGTACTTCCCTCCTCTTTGTACTAGACACTGCCCCTGCAAAGATCAAAACCAAAGGCGTAAATTTTCCATAGAGACCCCTGATACGCTTCAATATCATCGTCGAGTTAAACAAAAAATCTGTGATGGGTTCGTTTGTATTTAGCTTTTCCTTGTGGATACGTTCTTTTTCCTATCTGTTCCTATTCTTCCATTATCTAACCGTACGTGCTACAACAGAAGAAATGATTAAGATTTGCATTACCAGATCCTCTTGCCTCGGCTTGATGATCAGAAGGTTCGTTCAAAGTGTTACTGGCTGGTTCCCAGCCAACAAAAAATCTGTGATGGGTTCGTTTGTATTTAGCTTTTCCTTGTGGATACGTTCTTTTTCCTATCTGTTCCTATTCTTCCATTATCTAACCGTACGTGCTACAACAGAAGAAATGATTAAGATTTGCATTACCAGATCCTCTTGCCTCGGCTTGATGATCAGAAGGTTCGTTCAAAGTGTTACTGGCTGTTCCCGAGCCGCCATTGTCCGAAGATTTTGCATCATTACAGGGAGTACAAAACAAGACGTCCTGAAGGGCGGGATCAGCAAAGCAGCTACGTCCAGTCTCTTCGAACTTCCGACACCGAGCAACGGTCCGCTTGATGAACGACAGTGCCACTTGCCTTGAAACCTTACGGACTTTCGATGCTTTACTGCCTCGGCTTGCCTGTTCACGTTTAACACCCGCTATTAGAAAAAAACCCGTAAATGTCTATGCATTCTTTCCTTCATTTGAATACGGAAAGTTCAACCATATTATTACCACTCTTTTCCTGTGAGCCATTTCCACAAGATGGTCCATTGCAAGATGCTCAATTTTCCTGCACATTAACAAGCTACTCAGCATTTAAAAAAACCATCATAAAAGGCGTCATTGGGAAGTAATGAATCTGAACTACAACTAAAACTAGCCTTCTTTCAGCATCTCTGCTCCTCTGTATTGACGTATTTATCTTCTCCAACTTCTTGTTCTTGTTTCGGATCTATTGAACAAAGAAAGAGAGTGGTCAAATTCCCAGAATATCTGGTAAAAGCTGTGGTAAAATTCCCAAGATGAATATCTGCACTTCTAAGTAGTGCATTCTAAGCAAGAGCGCGAAACCCGAATTTGGTTTTCTCACCTGCTGATAAACGACTTCCTTCAATTCCAGAACATTTGTGCTGATAGTTTCTTCCGCTAGATCAGGCTGTGTAACAAAACAAACAAATGGAAACATGAGATGATGAAACTGACATAAAAACGGCATGGCCTTACGATTACGCCATTCTAATTCCTGTCCCTAATTGCAAAGGAAAAGAGAAAATTATAAGATAATCATATCAATTCTAAATGTTAATAACAACCCGATAGAAAGGATGTATCGTAACATTCATACAACAGCTGGGCGAGACATGCATATTTCAGATATTGGAACTTTGTTTCACATTTTTCCATTCAAGTTCCTATTTCTCTATCATCTCATATTGATTAAAAACAATAGAAAAACTTAAGAGTGGAGCAAAACCTACCAATGCGTCGGGGTATACACCAATGCTCTGTAGTTCCAAAAGAAGACGCTCATCCAAAGACATGAGCTGATACTGCGCTTCAGATAATGGGAAGACGGGAACGTTCATTTCCCGAGGTTGTAGCTGACTCTGATTATTTGAACATATCTCACTGCCGACCGCAACTTCGGAATGCGATAAATCATCGTCTCCCAGCCACTGTTCGTTGCTATGGACAGAAACCGACATGCTTCCATTTCTAAAAGAGTTTGACATGACGCTCCTATCACTAGAAAACCTGTCAAACAAACAATTCTTCAGGGTTTGAAATTCGGCATTTGACTCTACTTCAGATTCCATTCTGTCCCTTTCTCTGGGCTCAGTGTCGATATAAGTACATGAACCGCAGTGAGAATCATCACTCGCATAATGAAGTGACAGATTTTTCCCTTCGCCAAATTGTACGACTTCTTCTCCATCATCTTCTTCTATTAAAGCAGAAAGCACCCTCTTATACAATGGATTGCTCTCATTCAGCTTTCTCATGTCCAATCTTTCAAATGAAAGATCAGAAATAGATGAGGCTTGATTCGAAAAGTCGACAGTATCATCACCAGGACCCTGAGGAGCCTTCGGCAGCAAGACACCCTGAGGAAGTTCTTCTACTTTCACTATTGTACTCCAACGAATGGGAAAAAAAAAGTTGCCAAAACTGAGTATAATGAAATTTTACCATGATATTATACCCATTTGCTGTTGTCTCTCTTAGAGATTCATCAAGTTCTTCCACAAAACTCAGCTGATCATGAAAAAGAAAAATTAAAAGATGTACTAGAGTTTGACGCATATCAAAGAGAAGCTGAATATTACAACATCTGGTATTACCTGATCCTTCATGTATTGCATGTCGTCTGAGCTGACAGAAGCAAAGATGTACTCCATCTTCTTCCAGAACTTTCCAGAACAAGTATGACCTTCATAAAAAAGCTTTGCACTTTAGCAAGCAGTTTATTTACAGAAAACCATGGGCAGAAAGACCCAGGATACATACTGGATGCTTTACATGCAGAGTTGGCAGCTGCAAAAAGATCTTCACGATCATCATCAGATTCACCTGAAAAGGCAAACCTTCTTGAGTACTCGTAAAAAATGGCATCATCAGAAGCATAAGGGTGCTCATTTTGTTGCCAAACCACTCAAATGAAATCGAAAGATGAATGACAAAGATATTTTATTCCAACAGCAATGTTCTTTTCATTCAGCCTCGCAAGAAATTCTATTTCATTCAGATATTGATATCCTAACTTCAGATATTCAAGGGTTCATACTGAAGAAATAAGTAACGCTCTTAAGCAAAAGATTAATGATACAATTTAGAAGCAGCGAATCAGGTGAAACCATGAAACTCGAAAAATGCAAAATAAAGACATGGGAAAGGTTCAAGAAATACCTGTGACATCTGATGAAACAGTATTTGCATTTGAGCCAAGACGAGTAGAAGCTTTACGGTCTTTAAGCTTTTTGGCAGGTGGACGCCCAGATTTGCTGGCCAGAAAGAAAGCAGATTATTAATTCTGATACGGACGAGCATGCATGCACACACACACACACACACACACATATATATATATATATATGTATATCCTGCTTTTCGGAAAACCAACAGTATCTGATAAATTGAAGAAAGAAAAATACAGGAAAGATTTAATGGTAAAAGAGAAACATAAAAAGTATATTGCATAAAATTCACCTTTTATTTTTATATAAAGCAATCTTTGCATGTGGAATAGGCTTCTCTACCGGGAGATTCTCCGTCTTAATGGTGATAGGATGAAAACCAGGGGTTGTCAAAGACGAACCACTTCCACCTTTCCCTTGCTTCCATGTACTATTATGACCAGAATGGATCTTGTTCTTTCTTAAAGGAAGTAACAGTGACCCTGTTTTCTGAGTTGTGGTCACTTCACCACTCTCTAGACCATCCTCTCTCGCTTTGTTATCTCCAGCTCCAGAGTCCTCACTGTCCCATAACCCATATGGCGATGAAGCATTCTTCAGCTCCCTTTTCACCTTTATAGTGGTATTATCAACAACTGAGAATGATCCAGTGGTTCCAGGGGAAGCTCTTGGACTGAAATCAGATGTTGAAAAGCCTTGAGAAGAGATTTTGGTTTCAGCATGCTTCATAACAGGAGAAACTACATTTGTTCTTCTTGTTCGAGAATTTTTATGCGGTCTCTGGCCAACCCATTGAGCCATTGCATGTGGAGATGAACCTGCTGACATTTGAACCTTTTGATTATTTCAAAGAATCATTGATGATACTTTATTAATACCTTTGGAGATTGCTCCAGACCTTGTAGAGCTCCGGAAGGGGGCTCAACTCTGGATGAAGGTTCTGCAGCCAAAATGGCACCTATTCTTGGAGCCCTAGAAGCTTTTCCTTTCAACATTGCATTAGAACTGTTTGTCAGGTTATCGTCCTGCAAATGTCTCCTGGATATATATAAACATGCATATATCAGTCACATAATAAAACTTTCCGTAACATACAAGCTACAACTGCAACAGAATTGAAGCTCAATGTGTTTACACACTTGTTTCCCTTGGCCATAAGCCTCTGCTCAGCAATCGCTGAACGATCCCTTGCAAGTGAACCAGTCTCCAACTCATTCCTGGACAATGAACCGACAACTGGACTATGGGGCTCAAAAAAAGTATCTAGTCTGTTAATTCCACTCGCCCCAGAAGTTTTGGATCTGCAACATATGAGACACAATCCACATTACAACTGACATCAACAGGTTGAACTAAATTTACAAAAGTATGGAGAAAAAAATACATATTACAATTGACAAACTGAAATTGGTAAAGGGGGAGAGAAATAAAATTCGGGGTAGAATCATTTTAACTGAGCAAATAGGTAATTCTCAGGAATAACTTAGGAGATGTGTGGACAGTAAAGTACATGGAGAATATGGAGAATATCGTGAATCAATTAGTTGCAATAATAATTTCATCCACTGGGATATCATGGAATTCTACAACAAAGATTCAATAAACAAGATTATGACCCTCAGACAAGAAGATTGGTAATTACATGCTCTGATGGGTATTCAATATTGATACATCTCTAGAATATCTGTAACCACCTCTTACATTGCCAACAAGAGAAACCATCAGGTCCACTATTATCTCATATATTTCAAGCATACCTGTAATTCTGGGTGTCACAGGAACGCAACTTGGAGTCAGCTGTCGGCTTTGGCTGCATGGCAAGTTGATCACTATTCAAAACTCTGTTACCTAGAGTCGCAACAGATCGTTTCCTTTTCATTTTTGTCTCCCATCCTTCAGCTCCAACTGGCAATCTGCGTATCTTCTCTTCAATTCGCATGGTTTCTCCAGAGATGCCTGGAAGAGAATCAGAATCCTTTTCTGTTGCCTGCTGTCTTGAAAGAGCAGAAACCCTAACATCCCCCTGAATAAATAACAGAAAACCCATTTAACAACAATGACATGCCAAAAGCTCCTTCCTTCCTGCCACATCAGAGAAAGCCCGACACCGAAGGTGCTTGTGGTATATATCTTGGGATACTAGTATAAACCTTATTGAAAAGTACACAAAGGCTTTCAGATGTCATGTCTCAAAGAAAGATTTGAAAAATAGCAAAACATTTAGTGAAGATAAACAGAACATAAAAACATCGAAGATACTTAAACATACTCCATATACATGTAAAAGCAACTTATAGATCAAAAGTCGAATTTAGATACAAACCCGCACATCTGCCACTGACGTCCGAGCCCGCTTGTTCAACCCAAGCATCTTTTTTCTTTCATCTGATTTCTGAGCCATAATGTCCTGTGTTCTTGGTATCTGATTTCTCACCTTATCTTGGTTCAACGCGTCCATCCTCTCACCAGGTGATATATCACTATAACGCCGTTTCTTTGAAGTTAATGCTTCTGCATACTTGTCCAGTTTGAAAATGGATTCGCCTAGTTTCTTTGCTCGATCCCTACAACAAAGGTATCGTTTCAACTTTCGAAGAAGAATCATCAACAAAAAGATTTAAGTAAAGCATATTCGTTTTATCTCGGAGTACAATTCATGGAGGAAAAACACAAAATTCATACCCGGCTTCTCTAGAAGTATCCTGAACGCTTTCTTTGAAATGCTTGAGCTCCTCTGTCGCAACAGGAGGAGAAGGTTTAGGATGGGCAAGAGCAAAAGAATTGTCTTCTGCTGAGGTTCTACTAGGGACACCGAAAACCCTTCTAAGCTCTCCCGAGCGTGTATATTTCTGATTGCCTAATCTAATTGGTTCCAGTGGCAAATATTGAGGCAACGGTGGCACATCTGATGACGACCCTACTCCTCGGCTCGAGTTATTGCCAGAACCTAGCATGCTGCCTTCTCTCTCCTGGCTTTACTCCAAAAGCTACTCTAGCAGAAACCAAAAACCCACAAACCTGCACTTAGGCAAAATTCTCCCATTGCTTCCTCACAACCGGAAAATAGCTTCAAACTTGAAAATTTGCATGAACTAGCTATGAAGCTATTTGTAAAAACTAAAATGGGTACCTGATAATCGCAAATTCAGAAGTACTATGAAATAACTCTTCTTCACCTCGCAGATCTAGCTTAGTGATTCTTAGAACAACGGAACAAACAAGAGCTGTTTCTCAAACAAAGATGACAGCGAGAGCTGTAACTTAATCATGTACCGAGACTATGGTAGCAAAATCATGTACAAATATGACAATTCTATCTCCCTGCTACGGCGGCAAAATCACTTCATTCAACACAAGAAAGATATAAAAGCCAAAAAAACAGCAGACTGACTCCAAAACAAGTAAAATTGGCCAAAAAAAGGCAATGTTAAAGATCAAGAATTGTCGATGAAATGGCAAACTCACTCAACTAATCAAAACCCGCAAACCCTTATTTCCGAAAATTCAACAAAATTTCAAGTTTACTCACCTTTCTCCTTCAACCAAAACACAGGAATCGTGGAATCGAAGCACAAAACCCTAGGAATCCAGCAACGGCGCTGACCAATCAAAGCGATGAAATGTAAAACCCTAGAAACACGGGGAAGAACAAAAATACAAAACTGAGCAATCGAATTCCGACAGTCCGAGCGAAATTCGGACCGAATCGAAGTTCGGCTCCGTCACCCTAAATCATCAACGAAGTCTAGCCCTTCGAGAGATTAGAGGAGGAGAAGAAAAATCCCTTGCGAGGAGACTTTCCCACGGACACGCGCGTCCCATTTAATATATATAACTGTATGTATACATTACTGACGTCATTGATCACCGTCTCGCGGCTCGTATATACGCGTACACATATACATGTATACATGCATATACACATACCTGTGTATTTATATACTGTATTTAATCGATTAAAAAAATTAAATTTTAGTAATAGATTTTAAAAATTATTTTTATATAAGTTTAAACAATAGTAAAACTTATTTAGAATTATTTTAAATAAATTTATCATTAATGATAATATGATATGTTTACAATTTGTATTCAGTAATAATAATATCTACTATTAACAAGATTTTTAATTAGTAATAATTTAAAGTTACCTGCGACATTAAGTTATGAGGGGCATATCCCTTTTGAGCAAATCAAATACCAAATTTCGCACATCTCTTAGTTTTAATTGCCATTATATTTCGGTTGCCCCAATAAATTATTCATATAATTTCATGAGCACACTTTATTCGAACGGATCGAAAAATCAATATTTTAAGAATTGAAGTATTATATATATATATATATAAAGCAATATTCACACAAGCTTTATAGAGTTTTGACATTTGACATGATTCTTGGGCATACAATTCAACAAAGCATAAAACTTAATTAGAGAACAAATTTATATATAAATATGTCCCGAATACAATACACGGTGATTATTCAATACTATATATAGATATATGTATATATTCAATACTCTCTCTCTCTCTCTCTATATATATATATATATATATATATATATGAATAATGGCATGTAATGCAAATCACGTCTACCACCCTGTACTAACCATCCTGCGGATCCTCCTTAGCTTGTCTCCCTTCTTCTCCCTTATAATTTGGTTGCTCCTGTTCATCACCTGCCATTTCCCACACATTGCTACAAATTTTTAAAACAATAATCTATATATTAAATATAAAAATTTCCAAAAAAAAAAATGCAAAATAATATAGCAGAAGATATTGAAAGATTGGTAACCAATTCGATGGGGGTAATTGACATGTTGCATTCCATAGGATGATATGATATATAGCTGATCTTGGATAACTAATATCTATTTTTTTTAAATCATAGGTATATTTAACAAAAAATAAATAATGGGTATAGTTCTCAGAAAAGGTAATAGAGAATTTATATTACCTCTTGCCTCCTTGTCTTCTCGTTTTCCTCCTACCAATTAAAAAAAGAAGAAGATATAATAGCAGAAAAAATGGTTAAAAAACTACCCATGAAAGGTGGAATATAAAACTTTATTAATTTACGAGTGTGAAAAAAAGGTTAATATTTCTTCAATTATTAAATAAATCACCACAATTTTCTTTAACTTCAAGTTTTCTTCTACGAGTTGGTTCAATTCCAACTCCAACTCCACAGTGTATGCCTGCGAGTGAAGAACATAAAACCACTATGAGAAAATCTTTAAAAAATCATTATTTTAAAAAAAATTGACTGTTTAAAAAATAAAATAACAATCTTTCATTACAAAAAAAAAAACAAAAATAACCGATGCAAATTTGCAATTATGTTACCTGTTTTCGGGCTCGGGATCTTGCCGCGGATTCTCGGTTTTTTATCATTCGTCGTTGTCTCCGCTCCATCAAAACTTCGGGCGGACCGTCTATTATACGTTTCTTGATACGAAACGCATCTAAACCGGTCAAAAACCGGCCGGAACTCGACACATTACCCGGTACACCACTTGACGATTCACCCAAAACAGAGTAAACCGGCCGGTTATCGTTATAACCGTTTGGGTTCTGAGCCGGTATCCCAACTCCGAATTCCGGGTTACCAAAACCGGTTGTCGTGGCCGTCATTACCATTGCTGTCTTCAACGGTTCTTGCACGACCCCGGCTTTTACGAGGAAGTCTTCGAGCGTTATCTCGCCGAGCGTTTGCTGACGTGGAATCTCGTCTTCCTCGTCGGGATTGTTACGATCTGATGAAGATGGTGGCTGATGATGATGGTGCATGTTGTTTTGTATCTCGAACCAGACTTCGTCGACAGTTTTCTTGCACAATGGGACAGGAACCGACAAGGATCCCTGTCGCGCAAGAACTGAGTACGGCACTGTCTCGCTGGTCGCTGCAGTAGCGTTTGCGTTTGCGGACGCGGGTTCCACATTCGAGGCCTCGACGGTCCATATGTTCGCGAGGAACTCGTCCATGTTCATAGCGCCGAAATTTTTGCCACTCTTGGTCTGGATCTCGTCGAGGGTCAGCGACAGAATCGAGTTTTGTCGGCCCAATTGTTGCGGCCGCAGCGGCTGCGTACCTGCATGGAGCGTTTGCGTTTGGATTTGCGTTTGGGGTTCGGGGTTGAATATGTGGAAGCTTGAAGTCTGATCCGATTCATAGACCGACATCGTTCCTTGCCTTCGATTCTTGAACCGACAACGAACATTTAGACCAAGAATTAAACATATGCATGTTTATGTATGTACATAACACACATGCATTATGTAAATGGAGATTAACTAGCGATGATATACATTGAAATTTCAACGAAATTGTGATATAATAATAGCATCGTATGCAAATATATTGAATAGTAAAAAAAAAAGATTAAAATCACGAACCAAAATTTACCAGAAATATATATGCGGCAAGAGATGAAAGACGTACGAGACTGCTTGAGATTGATGTTCGATCTGCGACTCAAACATACGGAGAGACTTTTATCGAGAAGAACAGGCGGAGTTTACAATGATGTATACACTACACTATATATATATAAGTATATACGTATATATACATGCATATATGGTGGGTATATTTATTTAAAATTCTGAGATTATTGAGGAATGAATGGATGAGGGGGGATTCTGGCTATTGAGTGGAGTGTAACTGACATTGCCGAAAAAGAGTAAATATTTATTTATTTTATAGATTAATATTGTTATACATGGAATCTGGCGTCACAGTTATTTTCTTCTCGGGCTTCAGTTGACACGTCGGTGACACCTGCCTCCATTTCCCTGCCGAGATTCTCTTTATTGACATTTACATATTTTAGTTTATTATTATTCGGGTGAAAAATTATTTTTACTTTTTACTGGGCAGCTACACCATACAAAACAAAGGATGAAAATTTTAAGTGATTAATTGGCCCCTTTACAAAAAAAAAAAGAAAAGGAAATTCGCGAGAGAACCAAAATTTAAACTTTTAAAAATTTAAATTAGAAAGATATTATCATCTAAATTAGTAAATATTCTTTTTAAAATTTAAACTTTTTTATCTTCACATATTCATTTTAAAAAAATCAAACGGTATTATATAACAAATCTTAACAGGTTTTCCACACCAATCAATCGACATGCCAAAAAAAAAAAAACAGAAACAAAATAAATAAATATATCGTCTAGGGTTCAATGATCACAGCCTTGGGTCTGTACATTGGAAGCTCGTCGCCAAGAAGAAGAGACCTCAAAATGGCGTCGCAAACTCCGTCGTAGTGAACGATCAGGTGCCCGCCCTTCGGCACCTCGTGGTACTTTATCCACTGTAACTTGCGGCACAAGCAACGCTGCAGCTGAAACGGCACGACCTTGTCCTCGTAGCCTTGCCACACGTGGACGGACGAGCTCTCGGATCCGGACGGAAAAGGGTCGGGTATATCCGCCGGGTCGAACTCCCAGTCGCCGAACGCCGTTATGAAATCGCTCCTCAGCGTTTCGAAAACGCGGCGGTCCCTGAGGCCGTCCTTGGTGAGCATGGGGAAGCCTTTGGTGGTGGAGAGGACGTGGATGTCGTGGTCGTTGAAGTAGAGAGGGTTCTTCTCCAAAAGGGAAGTGGAACCGAAGAGATTGCGAGTGACCCACCAATGCAATATCCCCGGGAAGTGCTTCGATATCCAGACCGACCATTTTATCAGTTCCCTCCTGTAATCTTCCTTCTTCACGCTCTCCGGCAACGACTTCCACCTGTAATTCACCACCCCCGCCACCATCGCCACCCCCGCCAGCCTGCCATCGATCAATCCCCATATATAATCATCTATATATATACATAAATTATTGTATATACTGATTCAACACTTCGAGTTTTGGGAGGTGAATAAGAGTCTTGATGTTCGTTCAGACACATTTTAAGGAACAACATAATGAGTTTGGACATAGTTTAGACATCCATCCATGTTGCGGGTACTATGTATACTCTCTCATTCATTATAGAATATACATACATACATATATATGTATATGTATATACCTCCGAGGAATGTGTTTGAGACAACTCCAGACAGTGTAAGATCCCATGGAGATTCCGATCAAATAAAACTTGGATCCGATCTGCAACTGATCCGCGAGTTCTTGGACATCGAATGCCTCACTCTTCAACGACCGTTTCGGGTTCGGATCGCTGTCTCCGTACCCTGCTCGGTCGTATACTAGAAAGTAGATCCCCAGTTCTTCCACAAGCTCCTGATAACAACACTAACAGCACCTTAGTCTTTCATAAAGTGAAAAACATTTTTACAGCAAGAAGTAAACGGTAACAAAAAAAGCATTTCCACCATCATTCTTGTCGGACACCGAACCTGAAAATCATGTACCAATCTGTACTGTTTGTTTCAGACATTGCAGATTACATTATCCAATCAAGACAGCAGAAACATCACTTAATTAATTCAGTTTCCTTGAACTCGATGCTATATTTTATATACATACATATGAAGGGACGATGATTCTATATACAAAGTCGGAATTCAACGATTGAGATCCGTATGAAGATGGTGAAAACTCAGGAACTGATATAAATCGCTGTCTTTTTCAGATCAGATCGAAGACCCAGAAAGAAAGAACAAAACTTTCGAAGAACAGAAGACAGATTCAGATCGAAGATCGAAGAGACAAAGAGATCGATCTGAGTGTACTTGCGAAGCATTGAAGTTCATGTCCTTAGAGCTTCCGAATCCATGAACAAGAACGATCTTGAACTTGGCTTCGTTCTTGGGAACGCCTCTTTCCTTGTAAGCCAAGTATCTCCCATCTCGAAGCTTGATTCTTTTCTGGGGATTCGCAGGTTGATCCGCCATTGTCGACCCCAATAAGCAAAAAAGAAAAAAAAAAGAGAAGAAGAAGAAGAAGAATGTATTAGGACAGGGGAAAGGTAGATCTAGCTGGCGTTTTGAATAAATTATGATGAATGAGACTCTGTACAGAGAAATTATTTGTCCTCATTAGCAATTGAAAATTCTAAAATTTGATTATTTTACAAATATAGATGTTTTTATTCCCTTATTGGTTCTTTTATTTTATTCTGCCAGCTTCCTATTCGTTGATTATAATTTCATTTTTCCTTTATTGTTGGAAATTGATTTACTCTAAAATATTTCCATGTTGGTAAATTAAAAAAAGAAAGAAAGAAGAGAATCTTTCATGGTTTTCAGAATATTCTAATCGACCGATAGATGGAGAAATGGAGGATTTATTTATTTTAATTAAAACTTCATTTTCCATGTTAATTACCATTATATTTTTTTTTGAGAGAAACACATCTGAAATTTGTATAAAAATGTTTGATTAAATTTTTATAGAAAATTTCCATGTTTTAAATTCTTTTTAACATCCAAAGTTTGCATCGAGATACTATTAGAAGTTTAGAACAAAACTAAGCGATCTATTTGATTTTAGAATTTTCCATATATCTACAAAATTATAAGATTAGTCTAGACTCTAATCTTCGCTTCTAAAATACACACATAATAAAAATACAATATTGATTTCTAAACATTTTTTCCAATTAATGAAAAACAAGCATCAACACATATCTTTATACCAAAACAATGGAAAGTAGGGTATTTTTGACCACCCTAATCCAAACTAATTGAAAATATATCACATAAATTGACCATTAGTGGTTCAAAACCTTAATCGAAAAAGTTGATGAACAATATATTTTTAGCTGATTTGGTCCGATTAAATAAAATTCGATTTGATCCGCTTCATTAAAACTCGTTTAATATTTTCGATTCTCTTTATGTGACAAAAACTTTAATTAGTTAACATGGGTCAAAGTTTGTCATGACACCATTTTTCAAATTCAGATTTATATTTTAACGTGTCTCAAGTTCGGAAATTATTATTCCAATCAACTAGTTCATGAATTTATTTTCCACCAATACTCAATTTCGGAGATTTGTATGAATTTATCCTTTTATATAAGGATTATGACTAGTTTGACTAGAATTTCAGTTGCGGGACCCTTGACTTGGCGATGACTGTAGTGACATGTCAGTGACCTTGTTAGAAATTTTCAATATATATATATATATATATATATATTCAAATTATGCTTGGCTTCGCCTTTGGCAACACCCGCTTCAGTTCACTCGAGGGTGAGACTCATGAGGTTTCGGCCCAATTATGTATCCAATGTGGTTCTTGTCTGGTTTAGATTTGGTTTGGTAACATGTGTTGCATATCAGAATAAAAATTCGGTTTATTCCGGTTTAGATGATTTTCATAAATATAAATACGTCAATAACACATTCAATGGGAATAACAAAGCAAAAACTTCCACAGAATATTATACGCTATGGAGCGGAGAGAAGAATCTTCACTCAAACAACTTTAGAAATTATATTTTTCTAATTTTTTGTTTGCTAATAAAAGATTTTTTTTTTTAAAAAAAAGATGACAACCTTTGTACTGTCCCTAAATCACAAATCGTGGAACGAAGAAGTTGCAAGTTGGGGTTTTTAACCGTACCAGTCCCGACGAACAGTAACCCTCGATCCCTTTCTCCGTTTCGACCAAAATTTAGGGTTTTTCCATTTTTCTCTTTTTGCTTAAACTACGTCAAATTAGAGTTTTTTTTTCTTCCCTCCCGGGGGTTCGTCATTCACCGAAGTGGGTGCAAAAATAATCTCGAATTTGGCCTCTTTTCACGCACCGTTCCGTTTCGTTTTGTCTCGTCCCGTCAAAATCTTCTGGGATTTCGGTTTGGTCCATGAATTCGAATTGGGTTCTTCAGTTCATCTGAAAATTTCTGGTCTTTTCTTCGAGACCCAGTTACCTCCGGAGCTCGTTGATGGTGTAATTGCAACACAAAAGGGAGTGTCCGAAACTGTGCTTTGGGTTTCTGTTGCGGAGTCTTCGGTTTCTTTTCGAATTGAATTTTAGTCTCAGAGAAGAGGAAGAGGAAGAAGAAAAGGAGATGATTGCGGAGAAACCCAGTTGGGTGAGGCATGAAGGTTCGCCGATATTCTCCATTGATGTTCAGCCCGGTGGTCAAAGGATAGCCACCGGAGGTGGTGACCACAAGGTGCCCTTTTTCCCTTCGCTTCCGTTGTTTTCTAAGCTTTTTTTTTTTCTGGTTAGTTCCTGAGAAACGGCCGACCCCAAATAAACGGGATTAAGGCGATGTTGGTGTTGTTGATGTTGTTTGGTTCCTGAGAAAATAATGCTGCAGAACAAGTTCGTTTGTCATGTTTTCCCTGATGGTTTGGTCTTCTAGCACATGGAGTACTAAATACTCGAATAAATGCGAATAGGATTGAGTTTTTAGTGAGTTCTTATTAGTGAAAATAGTGTAACCAATTATGATTTCTTGGAGCACTTGATTTTGTCTGAGTTGTTAGGAGTAAGGTGACGCTAAAGATTTCACGAGCGAACTACAATTTCACTTATATCTCCATGTTTCAAGAGTAGAGATACATGATTATCTCAACATGTACTTGAAAGTCTTGTATCTTTCTTTCTGTTGGGTTCTATCAATTCTAGTGTAACCTCACTTGGAGTTCTGAGAATGTCTGCGTACATAATGTATGTAGTTTCCTTGGCGCTTGTTTAGAATGATTGGTTTTGTTTTTACTTATTACTCGAGTGTTAGAAGTTGTCTTGGGACAGTGATAGACTGCTTTCTCATGTCTCAGTGGCTGCATCATTTGGATTATGTCATTGATATTGTTTGATGAGTTTGTTTAGCATTAGCAACTGAAAAGGTTTAACACGGAACTGAATATTTGAACCGTGTTGTGGTAAACCGTGTAACAGTGATTTGAAGGCACTGAAATACTGGTTTTGCGGGTTGATCTTTCTTTGCCTAATGGCTGGAAATTGTTTCTTCTTTCATTTTATGGAGTATACTTCTTGGCAAATCTCTTTTATGCTGTAGAAATCTGCAAGCATTAGCTTGATGGTACAATACTTGTAAAATACTACACTGCATACTCTAACTGACGCTCTCCTTTGATCATATTTGCTATTGTTGAATGTAGGTCCGGATATGGAACATGAAGTCTGTCGACACAGATTTACAAAAACATGACCCAAATCAGAGGATTCTTGCAACTCTCCGTGACCACTTTGGGTCGGTCAACTGTGTTAGGTGGGCTAAGCATGGTAGATTTGTGGCATCGGGTTCTGATGATCAAGTGATCCTAATCCACGAGAGGAAGCCCGGTTCAGGAATCAGTGAGTTTGGCAGTGGAGAACCCCCTGATGTTGAGAACTGGAAAGTTGTAATGACTTTGAGGGGACACACTGCTGATGTGGTAATTATGTCATTCTTTTCCATCTTAACCACCATCATTAACTTCAGTGGTTATATTATAACCGAGTGACTTTTTTTCTCTGCTTAAAGTAGGTGGATCTTAATTGGTCTCCTGATGATTCAATGCTCGCTAGTGGGAGTTTGGACAATACGGTCCATATATGGAATATGAGCAGTGGTATTTGCATAACTGTTCTTAGGGGACACTCAAGCTTGGTTAAAGGAGTCACCTGGGATCCAATTGGCTCATTTGTTGCGAGTCAATCAGATGATAAAACTGTCATAATATGGAGAACAAGTGACTGGAGCCTTGCGCATAGAACAGAGGGTCACTGGTCAAAATCGGTACACATCAATTTATTCTCATAATTTCATTAGGATGCAATTATGTAAAGAGGATGTTAAATAAAGGGTTGATTAAGGATTATCTTGTCGTTTGAGGGAAGGGTAACACAATGCATCCTAATGTTTTCCTTTGGCCGGTTATGACTAATGGCGAATATGTTTTCTTTCAGCTTGGATCCACGTTTTTCAGGCGCCTTGGGTGGTCCCCATGTGGACATTTCATTACTACCACTCACGGGTTTCAGAAGCCAAGGCATTCTGCTCCTGTTCTAGAGAGAGGGGAATGGGCTGCGACGTTTGATTTCTTGGGGCATAATGCTCCAATCATTGTGGTGAAGTTTAATCATTCAATGTTCAGAAGATCCATGTCTGGTGCACAAGATGCAAAACAAGTCGGGTGGAGCAATGGGGCTTCCAAGATAGGAGGGAAAGATTCACAGCCGTACAATGTTATCGCGATAGGGAGTCAAGACCGTACTATAACTGTATGGACAACTGCAAGTCCACGCCCTCTTTTTGTTGCGAAGCATTTCTTCAGCCAAAGCGTTGTAGATCTATCATGGTAAAAACATATGCTCTTTTTCTATATGTGTTGTATGATTTATTGATTAACCGTTACGTTTTACTTATGGTTTTGCATTGTATTTCAAAGTGCGCTGCGGTTTCCATATGTTTCTTTTTTCTTTAATATCAATTACGATTTTCCAAAGAATCTATGGCCAGTACTCTGGTGTCATAATTGATTTTCTATAAAGAAAACACGTAGAGAGAAAGAATAAAAATCTGATCATGTTCTGTCATGATTTTTAACCATTTATTTCTCCTTGCAATTACAGGAGTCCTGATGGGTATTCGCTTTTCGCGTGTTCCTTGGATGGAACAGTGGCAATGTTTCAATTTGACACAAAGGAACTGGGCCACAGGCTAACTGATGCTGAGCTCGATGAATTAAAGAAAAGCCGGTATGGAGATATCAGGGGCCGGCAGGCAAACTTGGCAGAGAGCCCAGCCCAGTTATTACTTGAAGTAGCTTCAGCAAGGCAAAATAATGGTAAGAAGGCAGTATCAGACGTTAAGCAAAACCAAATGACAACAAAACCTTCTACCAATGCAGATAGTACAGTGAAGGTTCGTAAATCTCAAGTTGAAGATCGAAATAAGACCGCAGAAACTACTGGTGACGCATTAGACAAAGCTGCAACCTCAACTCGGGTATCTAGTCCTGTGAAGCAGAAAGAATATAGGAGGCCCGACGGAAGGAAGAGGATCATTCCTGAAGCTGTTGGAGTCCCTCAGCAGGAGAATAATATTATGATTAGCGGGCAGTCTCAAAATTTTCCGCTTGTGTCATCTGATCTTAATAAGGGAGATAGCGGAAATTTTGCTGCTGAGACCGGCAATAGGGATCCATCCATAAAGGGAGTGGTGGGCAGGAACTCTGATCTTAAAAAGCGTTCAGGGGTTACTGCTCGGGCTACTGTTACTGAGAGCCTTGTTATCGAAAAGGTTTCTGAAACCGCTGGTAGAGATGGAGGTATAAATGTCGAACAATCAACCGGTATGAAGGGATCTGGCTCAGATCTGTTCATTAGGGTGTTCGACAGGAAAGAAGGGGAAGATGTGGTACCTGTTTGCTTGGAAGCTCATCCACGGGAGCATGCTGTAGACATTTTTGGTGCTGGAAGTACATCAATGATGAAGGAAACCGAAATTCTCTGCACAAAATTAGGCCAAACTATTTGGTCTGATCGGATTTTGGGGGAAGTCACAGTCTTAGCCGGGAATCCAAATTTTTGGGCTGTTGGGTGCGAAGATGGAAGCCTGCAGGTGAGAATAATTACTTTGAGTTCTTTTGTTTCAGTTTTTACTCGAATATGAAACTCCATCAACCGGAATTACTAAAAGGATTTGATGCTACTAATACCATTCCTATTAAAAAAAATATGCTTTTGGTACCTGACATTTAAAGCATATGTTCGACTTTATTTTGATGTTGTGAACTTGTTTCCTCGACTGATTTTACTCCATTTGGTAGTATTTTTTCGGTACTTGGATGTTTGAGGATATTTCAAAATCCGACTTTGGAGTTAAATTGAGGTACCTGGTCGGTATATTTAACTCCCGGATAAGGAAGAGAAAAGTAATATGGTAACAAATGCAATGTGTTGCCTTTTGAGTAAATTTCGAGATATTTTGTTATAACTTGTTCATACCTTTTGAAGGTCTATTCAAAGTGTGGAAGACGTGCTATGCCTACTATGATGACGGGATCTGCTGCAACATTTATAGATTGCGACGATAGCTGGAAGTTGCTACTGGTAACAAGAAAAGGATCTTTATATGTGTGGGATCTATTTAATAAGAAATGTCTCCTACAAGACTCGCTATCATCTTTAATATCTTCTGATGTCAGACCATCTTCCAAAGTTGAAGGTATGCTGTAAGACTCCTAATAATCTGTTATTTCCTCATCCATTTGTATGTCTTTTAGCACAAGACAGTATTTGATTCCAAAATGGCTGGACTCTCGAGTATCCTGAAAATGATCGGTAGTCCATAATCAAAGAATGAGGACTTTGCTAATTATATTTATGGCCATTTCTTAGTCCAGTACGGTATTTTCCCCATAACTTATTTGGCCAAATCTGTGAAATGAATTTATGTCGTCACGGTGATAGAAGCTCTAGCTAGCTGATACAATCTTGTTTTTCAGGCATGATAAAAGTGATATCTGCAAAACTATCCAAATCTGGTTCTCCACTTGTTGTTCTAGCCACCCGTCATGCCTTCCTCTTCGACATGAGTCTAATGTGTTGGCTGAGAGTGGCTGATGACTGTTTCCCCGCCTCAAATTACAGTAGCTCCTGGAATTTGGGTTCTGCTCAGTGTGGAGAGCTTGCTGGTTTGCAGGTTGACGTCAGGAAGTACATGGCTAGAAAACCTGGATGGAACAGGTCGGTGTCTCATCACAGTATCTTTATATTCATGAAGTCATTCTTGGCAATTTTCAATGTTGAAAATATGACAATAGAGCTTATTTATAGTCAATTCTTTGCTTCTCTTGTTTCATTGTGTCTTTATCTGTGATACTTGCCCTGTTTCTTTGGTATGCATTACAGGAATTTCCCTGAGCCCCCGATTTCATATTGTATTTACTTCTCCTGGGTGTTTACATTGCAGGATAACTGATGATGGGATGCAAACCCGTGCACATTTGGAATCTCAACTCGCTTCCTCCCTCGTTTTGAAGTCCCCGAACGAGTATCGTCAGTGCCTTTTGGCTTACGTGAGGTTTCTAGCCAGGTCTGTGTCGTTTTCATTTGTTCGATGATATTTTCTGTTTTCAAACATTTAGTTTGTCATCTTAGGTTCCGTGAACGAGTGTGTGAGTTTTTGCAATGCATAATCTGGTCTAGAATATCCATGATTGATTTCACATATCCATCCTAACGGATGTTAAGCTTCTAGAATGACCGTTATGGTTGCTTATCACTCACGGCACTCATTTTCGGTTGCTTCGTTTTTCAAGGCACCGAACTTTCTTCACATGTTTTGTCTTCAACAATGAGGGCTTTGCTTTTGCAGAGAGGCTGATGAATCGAGACTAAGGGAAGTATGCGAAAGCTTTCTCGGACCTCCAACTGGAATGTGTGAAGCATTATCCTCCAGCACGAACGTGTCGTGGGATCCCTTTGTTCTGGTAATGCCCCTGTCTTTTTTAAAGATCTCTCCCCTCTTGTTCTTTCAAGTCTCCTTAACGAAAAGATGAAACCTTTAAAACTCTCTTGCTCTTGGATGATGATTTCCTAATGCTCCTCAGTCCTCATCACATTTTACATGTCCACAGCGAAAAAAGGCTGAAAACAGAGTGGTAAATGAGGAAGAACACATTGAACTTTTATGATTTCTGCTGGTTAGTTCTGATTTTTAAAAAGCATTTCTTTGAGGGAGAGGAACTATATGGTAGTCGGGTTTAAAGGGACATTGTGATTGTCGCCCTTTTGAAAAGATAGAATTCGGAAATCGATTTGGTCGAATTGGAAAGCTTGGTATCTACTTCATATTTGGTTCAAAAGCTGTGATATTTAAAGCCCAAATTAACGAAATCCAGTGTTTTTTTTCTCTCGGGTTTTACCTGGTCTGGTTTGATCGATTAGGTTTCTCCTGGTTCGAGAAACACCTGTCTGAATTTAACTGTATTTTCAGGGCATGAAGAAGCATAAGTTATTACGAGACGACATTCTTCCTGCAATGGCATCAAACAGAAAGGTCCAGCGTCTGCTCCATGAGTTCATGGACCTCGTTTCCGAGTATGAAAACTCGGAAACAAACACCGAGACAAAGAACCTGAAATCTTCCGCGACCACTGATCCAATGGACTCGGATCCTCCAGACATGACAACAGCTACTAATAACCAAGATTCTGCAACTCCAATGGCCATAGACAATGGCAATCCTGTTCCTGTCGGAAACTCTGAGGTCGGGGATGCGAGAAAAGACGGGAAAACGGGTTTGGGAGATCGAGATAAGCAAGACCCGGATTCTGGAAACCCTGGTTCTTGATTTTCTCTGTGTTTTACTGTAAATCGGATTCATGGATGTTGTAAAGGCCTAATCTTTACCAGGAGACCAGAGGAAACTGATGATTCTCAAGTAGTTTCTCAGTTTAACCGTTTCTTTTTAGTGTCTTCGGCTGATGTAACAGAGAATGCTGGGAGTTAAGCCGGTTTAGGATTCAGTGACCGGTCCGGTTTAGAGTTGGTATTGTATTTGAACGTAATGGGAGCCGGTTCAGTAGGGCTGAGACCGGTATTCCAAAGTTTAAACCGACTTGTTCATTATTGTCCTGATTGTTGTACCTAATCGCCAATCGGGTTGTCTACCAAATATGTTTTTTTTTTTTATAACCAATAAGTTTAATGGGCTTTCGACCCATTTAAATATGTTTGTTGTTTGGATCTGCCTTTAGGGTTTAGTTTATTAACACGAAACCCCAACCCGCATGATACGTTGATCAAAAGAATAAACTTTTTTAGAAAGATTTATTAAATCTGTAATTGACATTATATTTTATTAATATCTACAAAAATATGATATATCCAACTAAACGGAATATGTAATCTTGGTAACGTATAAGCTTATATATGATAAATAAGAGAAAATTCAAAACATTTGAAAATGTCCTTCCGATCCAAATGTGAAACCGATATCTTCACGTATCACTAGAGAACAAATCCGATGACAAATGAATGTCAGAGTTAATACATATATACATATATATATATATATATATGTGTATATTATATAGGTTGCTGCAAATTGTTCACCATCTCCACCTACATGCCTCGATAAAAAAAATTTATATATTACTGAGGGTTAGAGAAGAAGATTAATGATATATATATGCATGTGTAGTGTATGATGGCATGTCTAGTTTTATTTTATAACAAAGAATAATAAGGTTTGGTCGAGAGGTTAGACAGTCTTGTTTCATAAGTTTGTGTTACACAATCAGCATTGGACAGTTACAAATTAGCTTACGTGGCAGTGGACCGACTTGATTATAATCGAACTATTATGATTCTATACTCAATAAAGTGATGTTCTTTTTATAAAAGTTTTAATTTAAGTTTTTTCCAATTAAATTAATACCAAACAAAAATGAAACGTTAATTTATGAGGGCGAAAACGCAGTTTCCAGCAAACGCTGTTTTGTCCCATACAAGAGTAAAACCTCGTCATTGACAGAATTTTTTTTTTTTTTTAGATAATCCTGAAGTTTACCGAAACTTTGCCCCGACTACATCTTCTAGAGGACCGGATAAGTCCAGGTAAATACCTCTCCCCACGCTTGAATTTGAACACACGGTGGGAATATGTTTTTTCATGTTCTCTCACCACTAGACCACCCAAACTTAGATTATTGCCACCACTTATACTCAACCTTTGTAGTTTTTTTTGGGGGTACGAATGATCTCTTTACACTTTGGTCGTACCTTATAAACCCTTCCATTTAATCTTCACCCTCCACAAATCATTCCCCCTCTCTCTCTCTCTCTCTCTCTCTCTCTCTCTTCTGTTTTTTCATGTTCTCTCACCACTAGACCACCCAAACTTAGATTATTGCCACCACTTATACTCAACCTTTGTAGTTTTTTTTGGGGGTACGAATGATCTCTTTACACTTTGGTCGTACCTTATAAACCCTTCCATTTAATCTTCACCCTCCACAAATCATTCCCCCTCTCTCTCTCTCTCTCTCTCTCTCTCTCTCTTCTTCAATGGAGATAGGAAGTGTTCTTCAGTTCCTCGAGAACAAATCCATCTTGGTCACTGGAGCAACAGGGTTCCTTGCCAAGAGTACTCTCACTCTCTCTCTATATATATGTATATAGTGTGTGTGTGTGTATGTGATTGTATGAGTCCATGTCCATCCACAGTATCCACCAACAAAATCTAGACATATACATCGAGAAAGATACGCACACTTATATACATTATTGTGTGTGTGTGTATATATATTAATATGTATGCATGTATTTGTTTCCATTTCTTCTGATTATAAAAAAAATTGTGGAAAATAATCGGAAATAGATCTTATTTGGATTTTCTTCGGATCTATCCATTCTGACACCAACAACTTTTTATATATCGTTACACTTGCTCTTTTTCTTTCCTTTTAATATAAACATGCCGGCTTTCGGCATTATTTCCAAAAAAATAAAATATATGTACCTTTATTCCTTAATTTTAAATAAATATTTTTTTATATTATTATATATATGCAGTTTTGGTGGAGAAGTTATTGAGGGTTGCACCAAATTTAAAGAAAATCTATCTTCTGCTCAGAGCATCAGATGAAAAATCTGCCGCTCATCGATTCTACAATGAGGTGTGTATTTTCTCTGTCTTTTGTCAGCTATTATTATTATTATTATTATTATTATTATTATTATTATTATTATTATTATTATTATTATTGGTGGTGGTGGACGGACCACACACCAGTGGTGGTGTACGGACAGCCTAGCCCTATAGGGTAAAAAATAAAAATAAGGAAAAAAGAAACTAAAAACATGCAAAAGGTTTCAATAAAATGATATTTTTTTGGTTAAATGAAAACAATAAAATGATATTTGTTAAGACACATTTAAGTTTTATGTCAACCCGATGGTCAAGACATTGGATTTTTCTGATTTACTCATTGAATTAATTAAATGTTACCATTTTCAGATAATGCTCAAATTAAATCATGGCATTATAGTGATATTTAGGTTATATATATTATATATATATATATGAAACGTTGTCTACAATATATACATATATATCGGGCCTCCTTAACAAAAAATAAATGTGTTGCTCCTACCCAAAACAAATAAACATGGTCTGCAACTATACTCCATCAATCTTAACAAAAAAAAAACAATAGAAATGCCTTGAGAGGTATATATATAAAAAAAAATGTTCAAATGATAGAAATGTTGGGTCTTTTTTTGGAAAAAAAAACATTGGCATGCTTAAGAGAATAATAAATAGAGAGAAAAAGCCTAGTCGGTATCAATCTATATTACCATAAGGTTTAAGTTGTAAAAAAAAAATATTAATGGAAGGTGGATGTTATGCAAAGAGAATACAAATATCTACATATACAAAAATGAGAATTTAAAATTTAAAAAGAAGTAAATTATAAAAATAATGAAATATATAGTAATAATAATGTCAGAAATATAGAATTTAATATTTTATTGCGGAGTGCAGCTACTTATATTATCTATATGAGAAGACATTGTGACTACAACAATATCTAATGCTTCCACTAAGTTTTAAATCTGAGGAAAAATCCTAAAAAAAAATATTGAAATCTTCATCACAAAAAACACTAAACTTTATTTTTTGCCAAATAAACATTAAATTTTTTAAATGAATCTAAAAAAACACGAATTTTTTAAGTGAACCAAAAAATACTTGAATTTTTCTGTGATTAAAAAAAAACTGAATTTTTTCAGTGATCTAAAATAATATATAAACTTTTTTCGATTATAAAAAAAAATTAAGTAAAATAATCTAACATGTTTGCATCTCTTTGTACCACCTCAATCATTTTGTTTATTTTGATAATTATAGAAGAATTAAGTGTTTGTTTTGTCAAATTTAAAAAATTTAATGTTTATTTGATAAAATAAAAAGTTCAATATATTTTTGTCAAAATTTAAAAGTTAGTATTTTTTTGGAGAATTTTTCCTAAATTTTTGAATATATATATATATATATATATACACACACACACGCACATGATTTTAGTCTTTTAGTCGTCGATGCTCAATCCACATCACGTAGAGATGGTGAAATTAATGGCCTTTACTCCCCCGGTTCCTACTCCTTTGGTCCAACAAAACGTTTTTTGTTATGGGATATATCGATGTTTTTATTTTCGTATTTTTTTCATTATTTAACATATAATACCAAATCCTTTTTTTTTTCATATTGTAATTGTCCAACTTGTAATGTTACGTGTGATTTAGTATCCAATAACCGATTATTTCTCATTTTTACAATGTTTTAATTTGGATATAAATATTCACACATGCCAACGAATTTTTACAGATATATAAAATTGTGAATATCTGAAATATGGGAATCGGATAAGAATACTGAAATTATATTTTTATCAAAAAAAATAAATAAATCATGTATGTCATTGTCTATATTTAATAATATGGCTATAAATGATATAATAATGATGATGACCGAGGGTTAGGTCCGGATGGCCCGCACTTTAAATAGGCCATTAACATATGGTCTGAGAACTGATAGTCTTTGGTAAAACGGTCTGTTTTCACAAATTAATTTGTTGGGCTTAAGGTGATATATATAAATCGTTTCGTTTTTGTTTTTGGCACATAAAGGTTAGATAAATTGTATCAATATTTTTTACTACAGTTAAAACCGACGTAAAAACTCACTAAAAGTTATGCTAAACAGTCCAATTATGATTTTGGCGCAAAGGATTTTGAAATTTTACATAATAATAATAATAATATAGTTAAAAGTTGGGTTTTATATCATATGGTTGGTCCAAATGCGCAGATTTTGGGGAAGGACTTGTTCATGGTGGTGAAGGAGAAGTATGGTCCAAGTTTAAATTCTTTAGTATCAGAAAAAGTTGCGCTTGTGGCTGGAGACATCTCCTCGGAGGATTTGGGCGTTCAAGATTCCAACTTGGCCGATGAGATGATCCATGGACTCGATGCCATCATCAACCTGGCTGCTACTACTACTTTTGATGAGAGGCATACATACATACATACATATATATATATATATGTATTCATTTTCAAGATATTTTTTATGAAAAATGAAAAATTCTGATTTGTCGTAGATACGATGTTGCGCTTGGGATCAACACGTTTGGCGCTGTTCATGTCTTGGACTTTGCGAAGAAATGTGCCAAGGTTAAAGTGCTTGTGCACGTATCTACAGGTACATATATATGTCTATGCGCACACACATCTGTGACATGCATATACATCATGCACATATACGCACATTTAACGAAAATTCCCGAAAATTCTATATCATAGTAAGTAGGTCAAATCTCGTATATACATATAGTTACCATAATTAATACCCTTATATATTGTGTCGCAGAAACTGCATTCATGATATATCATTAGGTCTAGGATGTCATATTTATCTAATGCAAAACAAAATTATTTGGAACTGCTATTTGATCAATGTTTAACCGTGAAAACATGCCACAGCTTACGTTTGCGGCGAAAAGTCAGGAACGATAACGGAAACGCCCTATCGGTTAGGGCAGACGTTGAACGGGACCACCGGTCTAGACATCGACAATGAAAAGAATTTGGTAGACGAAACACTCGAGAAACTCCGAGCCACCGGAGCATCGCCCGAGACCGTCACTCGAGCCATGAAGGATTTGGGACTCTCTAGGTTCGTATATGCGTTTGCATTTTGCGTTTTGCGTTTTGCGTTTGCGTTTGTGGAATCTCTTGATACCAAGTGGGATGTGCAAATGATTAGGGCGAAAGTGTACGGATGGCCAAACACTTATGTGTTCACAAAGGCGATGGGGGAAATGTTGGTAGGGGCAAAAAGGGAAAATACTTCTCTTGTGATTCTACGTCCCGCTATTATCACAAGCACTTTGAAAGAGCCTTTCCCCGGTTGGACCGAAGGAGTCAGGTATCTTTTCTTTATTTATTTATTTTTTTCTGTGACCAAGTACTGGTCCAAGATTCAAACCAATCTCGGGGTCGAAAATCAGCCAGATATTTGGAATACACGTTCCCCCGAATTTGAAATTCGAACTTGGGACGGAACAAACGTTTTCTTTACTCTTCTCATTTCCCTTTCACTATAATCAATTATATATATATATATGGTTTGGTTTAACAATTCGGTTTAGTCTGGTTTTGAACCGATTTCAATCGGTTAGGTTTAGTATTTGCGCCAAGATGGTTGGCTATGATATTATTACTGGTTTTGTTCGAATCTAATCTGAATTGAAATAAATTTTTGTTGGATAAAGTTTTTATTTGGTCGAAATGTCGACTCCTAGTTTTACGAGCCTGATCTTCAGGGATGTTTGTGATCTAATTACATAGAAAGGGGGCATAATCTAACGAATTTCAAGTTTTGGGGCAAAACTGAAAATTTTAGTTTTTTTAAGCATTATGCATACACTGATATACATTTATTTCTTTGACAGGACAATCGATAGTCTCGCTGTTGGATATGGGAAAGGCAAACTCACATGCTTCCTTGGAGATCTTAATGCAATCTCGGATCTTGTAAGTACCTTATTATCCTAACACTAATAATATAACGAAAAATAAAATAAAAAAACACATTAATTTGGTTTTATTAAGATGCATATATCAAATTAATATTTATTTTTATTAAGTTTAAAATAAATAAAAATTAATCTCACTGGTTTTAGAGACACGCCCTATCCAATACCGTTACATCTTATGTATAACACTTGCTTGAATTATACACATTACATCCTAGATTTGTATCATTTGCAAAAATATCCCTGAAACTTTTAAGATATGACAATTGAACCCGTAATTCTCAAAATGAATATTATTCACCCCATTGTTTTGAATTTGATACCGGTTCAAGCAGATACCGGGAGATATGGTGGCGAATTCTATACTAGTATCCATGGTTGCTCAAGCCGGTAAACCGAACCAAGTAATATACCATGTCGGTTCATCGGCCAAAAACCCGATGAAAAATTCCAAGTTACCGGAATTCGGATACTCATATTTCACCAAGAAACCTTGGTTCGACAAAGACGGGAAGCCGGTTCGTGTA